TGCTGCCACCCTTGGAAGTGCAGATCCCTTTTGCACGGTCAGGTTTATTGAACAATCTAAGGGCCTATTTAGCAGGAGGGATTCCACCTTGGGTTAAACATTGATTTTGTTGTTTATGCAGTAAAACTTAAACTGACCCTGCCCCCCCTCAGGGACTTACCTAAAAGCAAGCCCGGGAAACCAGTCCCGGGTAACAAAGCCCAGATATAAGGGTGGGTCAGGCCAGGTGGAGATATCTGATCAGTTGGGGGGGGGGCGCATACTGTCTCCTTAGCTACCAAGGAGTATGGGCCCCGCCTTTTGGGCACCAATTATGACCAAGGTGATAAGCTAGTTCAAATATCTTCTAGGGTAAATTGTAATTCAATTGGCCACCCGTGTGATGAAGTTCTAGAACCTAGGTAAGGTTTGGTGGGCTGAGGTCCGAAGCCGATGACCAAGAAAGAATTCTTGAGACATCTTCGGTGCAAAATGGTGGTTTATTAAAGCACCAGGACAGGACCCGTGGGCAGGAAGAGCTGCTGCCCCAGGTTGTGAGAGATGGCAGGTTCTGTACCTTGCAGTTGGGGGAAGGTGAGGGGAAGGGAGGTTTCAATGGAACTTTCATATGCTAAAGAGGGCCTACAAGGATACCGGAGGCCTTGCAGCTTGATCAATGTTGTCTTTTGGCAAGCCATTCACATTTCTGCTATCAAGTGTCTTTGTTAGTGAGATTTGGGGTTAGAAGAAATTTAACTTTATTCAGGGCTTGAGGAACTGAGTTATTTGCCTCTGGAAATTGTGCTATTGATAAGGTAACTTCTTTCTTTGTAGATCTCTAGGACATTTGTAAACCAGGGGAGACACTGTCTTGCAGGATTGTGATCTCTGCAAGTTAACTATTTGTTTCTCCTTTATGGCAGTCAGGGGTGCCTGAGGAATGTCACACACATTACCGAGGGGAGCGGATGGAGAAGGGGTGCAAGGTGCCAGCTTTTGCTTTGTCCTCAGCCAGCCTCCTGCTCCCTCATCACGTGTGTGACCTGGTATGACTGTGCTGCTTTCTCTGTGTGTTACAATCTCATTGGCCACCTGTGTGTGGCCAGGCCCAACCACATGGCCCTTGCCCTTTAAAAGTTAGTCGGTAAGGCTGGGGCGGGGGTGTCGCCTTCTTTGTAAGAGGCACGACCCTGGCCGGATGGTTTGATTCTTGATGCTTGGCGTGAAATAAAGCTTTGCTTGACCTTCGCTTTGTATCAGTCTCGCTCCTTTAATCACGGACCCATTAGTGGGGGACCTTTCACACAAACTGGCTTGTGTGCTTGCTTCTGGTCTCTCTCCCTTCCAAAACACCATTTGAGATAGGGAAACTGAAGGACTTCATTAAAAAATCTGCTTTTTGCTTCTTCTCCGGCTTCTATCCTTGCTAGGACCAGCACCCTACTTTACCTACGCCTCATAGTGCAAATAATGTAGGTCTTTCTTTGGAGGAGACAGGGAGTTTATGACTTCTTTAGAGTAGTTAACATCTAAGGAAGGAGCCAGGTGCACATGACCGGAAGAAGTCATCCTATGTGTGTTCCAGACCATGGGCGCTAGACATCTTGACACCAAGATCCCCTGCCTTCAAGGAATAACACCTGGGCCCTCATCTTTGTTTTAACTGGTTCCTGGATGCCTGAGAGAATACGTACCCCAGACCCCAAACATAGACAAGACTCTCTCTCCTTTCCTTTCTGAGTCTCCCAGACACTCTGTACCTGCACTCTTTTAATATCTCCAATAAACTTGGCTTTCACCTCCTCCTGGGCTCACATTTGATTACTATCCTGTGTGCAGCCAGGGGCCCTCCTGGCTGGTCCAGCGGGATCCCCCTCTGAGTCCCGGGACTTAGTCTGCTGGCATCACTTCCACATTGCTTCCGGCTTAATATTTCCAAGACATTGTTTTTTCAATTTTGTCCCTCCATTCAAAAATATTTCAGTGACTTGCAAATTGCTTACAGTATGTTAAAAAGGAAATGACAGGTCCAAAATGTCACTTAGGCTAAATCAATAAACCATGAATCAATAGCTAATCTAGTAGTAGTTTGAACCCCCAAGAATTTAACCTTTAACCAATTAGTCAACAGGGAATTTGCTGGTCAATGACCAGGAAATTTACTGATAGATCCCTTCTGCTCCCTTTGAGGTGGGGGTAGGGGTCAACCTTGCCTAAACAATTCATTCCTCGCTAACAAATTCCTTTCTTCCTTTTAAATGCCTTCTTTGTCTTTAAAAACCTTACTTTTGTTTAAATCAGTGGCACTCCTCTGGGTTTCCTAGATGGGATGTGTGAATTGTTTAAAAAACCCAATTAGATCTTCAAATTTACTTGTTTGAATTTTGTTTTGTTTTTACAAGTATGAAGTCTAAATGTATCACCTTGCTATTTAAAGTCTTCTGCAACCAGACCCTGACTTACCTTCATGAGTCTTATCCTCTCCAGTTCCTTCAATGGTGCTTCTTAAATCAGGCTTCAATACCCTAGGAGTGTGTGTGTGTGGCTAGAGACAGAGGGAGCTTTGAAGCAATACGGCCAAAACCTAGTGAGCATTATCTCTAAGAGTCAAGTTTACCAGATGACAGTTACTCTAAAAAAAATTATTTTTTCTAAAACATGCTATAGAGTGCAATATTACATCAACTTTAAAGCTAAAAGCAGGGCATCAGAGACCTTTTTGGGATTTTGGTGGGCCACATCTCAATACCCCATTACTTTCTTATTAACTTCGAACTACCCCAGTCACTGGTAGTCGGAAGTACTCAAAAATAACTGACATGGGAATTGATGTGGGAAACGAAGAAGGAAAATTATTAAATTTCCTTACTACCTATGGCCCATTGACAAGTCCTTGAAACAGGAAGAGTGACATTTCTCTAGGGACTCAACTGCCTCCATATTGACGGTTTGCTAAGGGCAAAAGACAATCCTAGCCGTCCCCCACCCCAAAATCCTGTAAGCCTTCTTTAACATACAAAAATTCCTTTGGAAACTTCCTTTATCTCTAAACCCCCCAAGATACATGTTCGCCATCACCTCCCAAGCATATGGCCCACCGATATGCATCTAAATGGGCTCATGACTAAGGTTTTGTTAGACAGTAATAAATGACTTTTTCCCAACAATAGCCAGCCCCCTCAAGGTCCTGGAAACCTCGATTTCCAAATTCCTTAGAGACTTACATTATCCCTAGCCCCCTCCCAGCTTGAAAGAATATAATGGGCCACTCCTCAAGACTCCATTGCAGCTCTTTCTGCCCCCAGGTCCTGTCCCCGTGCTTTAATAAAATCACCTTTTTGCACCAAAGATGTCTCAATAATTCTTTCTTGGCGTGGGCTTCGAACCCGAATGTTCTTTCCGACATCAGAATCACCTTTTATAAACTCCCATTTTTATGCAGTTTTTAAGTTTTATGATTTTATGCAGTTTTTAACACTCGTTCCTCTTCCTGAAAGCCTTTCCTTCAAATTCCAGCAAACTAACCCTAACATCCCTTGATCCGGCTGGGAAATCACACCAATTACCTATGTCATTCCGCAGGAGCACTTAGTATTAAATATCTCCTTTATCATTTCTTAGGATCATTCTGTGATATTGTGGTAATAAATATGTATTTGGTATTTGTCCCCATTCCTAGCGCAGAACTCCTAAGATCCTTGGAATTTACTGAGATAGATGGAGGTGTGTTATGCTGATGTAGTGATTTTTGGAAGGCCCCTAGGTAACAGAAGGATGGAGTTTGGTTGCCAGGGGAACCAACCAAGAGATTAAAAGTTTGGAACTTTAGTCCCACCCCCAGACCTCCTGGGAAGGGAGAGGGCCTGGAGATAAAAATATTCAATCACCAATGGCTAATGATTTAATCAATCATGCCTGCATAATGGAACTTCCGTAAAACCCCAGAAGTAGTGGGTTCAGAGATCTTCTGTTAGTGAATGCATGCAGGTCCTGGGAGAGTGGTACTACTAGAGAAGGTATGTTAGATTCCCACATAACCTTGCCCTATGCATCTTTTTCATCTGGGTTTTATAATAAACTGGTGACCTAGTAAGCAAATGTTTCCCTGACTCTCTACAGCAAATCAATCTGACTGGGGGTAGGGTGGGGTCCTGGGAACCTCCCATCATCTATAGCCCAGTGGGTCAGAGGCATAGGTAACAACCTAGACCTGTAATTGGGTGTCTGAAGTGGGGGCAGGAGCAGTCTTGTAGGACTGAGCCCTTAACCCATAGGATCTAATGCTATCTCCAGATAGTATCATTGGACATACTTTCAGAAAGTTGATAGGGATCAGGTGTAGTTTTATTTCCCAGACTAAACAAAGGAGAACCCAATTCCAGAGATGTGAAGGTGACATGTTTGTTTTCCTACCTAGAAGCTCCTGATAGCTGGGCTGGTGCTTTACTAGATTTCCTTGCTTCCTTCCCTTCAGGGTAGTGCCTGGTACTCGGTGGGAACAATAACCTAAACTCTCCTAGAGAGCTTTAATCTACACGATTTCAGGATATCCAAGACCATGCACAACCCTGTCGAGGTGACCAAGGCAGATGCCGTCCATTTTAGAGGTAAAATAACTTGAGGTTCATTCGTAAGGCCTGACAAGAGCCGGGACCAGAATACGGGTTTTCTGATTCTTGGTTACAGCACGTCGTCCTTTGGGTGTTTGATCAGTATTGGCCAATTTGATCGAGTCAAGCAACCGTTGAGCTCAGTACATTTGGTGCCAGTCAGTGGAAGATCACTAAAACATCCTGCATCTGGCAGGAGGGCAAAGGGAGAAAGCCCGGAATCCTGACCCCAGCCTCTAGGGTGCTGTCATGACAACGGTTTCCGGCGCCAGGGGAAAAAAAAAAAAAAATTCCCGCTAAATCCGCTGTGCAGGCGCCGAGGTACAAAAGGCGAATCACTCTACCCGCCCTTCCGAGTTCCGGACTGCGCAGGCGCACTGGCGCGGGGGCGTGGCAACGCAGCTCGCTCCTCCCGGGGGCCCACGCTGACGGAGGTGCGGCGCGATTTGAAATTCCGGGACCTTCTGCTCGAGCTCGTCGTCAGCCAGGCTTCAGCGAAGCAGTCCCGCCGGCGAAGAAGGTGAGCGCGGTGCCGCGTGAGGATGAGGCGAAGTGAGAGGATAGACGGTAGACGCCAGTGGAAGCGCAGACACGGCGGGCGGTTGTGCAGAGGGGCAGGGCGAGCCGCGAGCGGGAAAATTCGGTTCTGGAGCCGGAGAGGCGGGACCAACGTGTGATTGGCAGGCTAGGAACCAGTGCGAGGGGAAAGGGCGGACTAATGAGGGCGGGACCTGCAGTGGCTGTGGAGCTGCGCTTGGGCGTGAGAACAGCTACCGCGCGTCGGGGGGCTTCAGTTTAGCCCGGCTGTGCTAAGGCACTTGTCATCAGTTGCCTTATTTAGTGATCACTGCAACGCTATACGTGAGTGTTGTTACGTGTTTCTCTTTTACAGGTGAGGAGACTGAGGCTTAGGGATATTAACATGAGCTGGGATCCCGGACTTGGCCCCTGGAGCCCAGCTCCCATACTGTTGAAAGCTGTGCTTTACTGCCCGTCAGGGAATCGAGGTGAAGTAGGGGGTCAGTCTAGAGGACTGGGATGAATGGATTGACTAGAATGTTGGAGGAGGTGCCCTAAATGTGGAAATAAATGCTAATATGTAGCAGGTTCTTCTTAGATTTTGTGAGAGCCCCGAGGGTGGAGCTGGGAGGGGGACAGAAGGCTCCAGCAAGGTGGCCCAAGTTGTGGGCCAGGTTTTGGAGCGCTGCTGTTGTGCTCTGAGTTGGCAGCAGGTGTGGAGAAGCTTTTCTTCTAGGCTGTGTTGTCTCCCAGGTGTGTGAAGTTAAAGTGTTTTAGGAACATAACCGCACAATCGTCGCTGGCTTCAAGTTCTCTTGGGCTACCATAACAAAGTACCTTAGACTGGGGGCTTAACAGAGATTAGTTTTCTCACGGTTGCAGAGTCTGGGAAGTCTAAGGTGCTGGCGTATTTGGTTCCTTGTGAGAGCTGTGTTCCTGACTTGCAGATGGCCCGCTTCTTCCTCATCCTCACATGGTGTGGAAAGAGTCCTCTTTCCCCTTCTAAGGCCACCCGTCCTTATAAGGATTAGGACCCCACTCTTAATGATTTTGTTTCACCTCAGTTTCCTACTAAAAGCCCTATCTTCAAATACAGTCTATACTGTGCTGCTAACTCAGAGCACAACAGCAGTCCTCCAGGACCTGGCCCACAACCTGCTCATTCTCACTTGCTAGAGCCTTCTGTCTCCCTCCCAGCTCCATCCTTGGGGCTCTCACAATATATACAGTATATACATGAATACACATGAATTTTGGGGGACACAATTCAGTCTGTAGCAATAGTTTATACACAAATAATGAGTGATGATTGAGAACTGAAGAAAATGAGCTTTCAGAACTAACATATACCTGAGATGCTTTCATGTATTTTATCCGCTTTGATAAGTATCTGGCGTATGCCTTAGCACTCTTGGGGAATTCTAGGGAGAACTTGTGCCGGGGGTCGTGGTTGTCCGCCACACAACCAACCTGAAGAGGTGAGAAAAAGTCCCATCAAATGTCCTTAATAGCACTCAGTCAATCCATTATTCAAGCATTTATGCAAATGCTTCTTTAACTTATGATTTAGCCTGTGCTGCTTCTGGAATAATGAGATCCATAATTACCACCCACAGGGAAGTGAAATAATAATTACTTTTCCTCTGTATTGTTTCATGTTGTCATTCTGATGTTTAGTAACCAAGTCTTTCTTTTTAGTCAGCTTGCCCTGGTGGGAGGAAGAGGGATGAACTGTGAATCCCAGGGGCTTGGAGGTCTGGCAGATGGGGTTCAAGTCTTGGGTTCAAGCACTTGCTGAGTGACTGGGCAGGTCTCAACCTATCTGAGTCTCTGTGTTTCCATCTGTAAAATAGAGTAATGAAAATATCACACAGGGTTGCTGTGAAGTTCTGTGAAAGCAGTTTGAAACCATTAAAGAACGGGCCCTTGGACTAGATATTTTAGTTGTGGAACCTCCTCTGCCCACACCTCTGAAGAACAGAAACCTCTACTTACAGCCACCATGTCAAGCTGGCTGTTCATTCCTCAGAATTTATTTGACTGCCTGCTAGGTGCCACAGTACCTCTTCTGGTGCTGGGGGGCAGGGAAGAACCAGACTGACAGGGTTCCTCCTTTTATGCCGCGTGTATTCTGGTAGGAAAGGATTATAAATAAAAGAAGTTCGGCTAGCGCTAAGAGCTATGAAGAAATTAAATACAGGGTAATGAGACAAAAGCGTGACTTCAAGCAGGGTGGTGTATGTGTGTTTGGATAGGGAGTGGTATTTGACCCAGATTGGGTGGCCAAATAAGAGGGGGAGGCTTCTCAGAGAAGCCTCTTGGAGAAATTTGCTGTCTTGGAGAAATTTGGTTCAGAAGAGGGGAAAAAAGATCAGACATGGAGCTGAGAAGTTCTTAGACCTTGGCCTGGCAAGGAAACATCTATCATTTCCCAGACAGTGGTGGAAGGGGGTGGGAAGCAGCAAATACGATTAGATCAAGCTGGGTACCTCACCAGTCTGTAGGCTGACCAGTGATCTAGTTTAAAAGGACAGGCAATGCTGATGAGATTGTTCCCTTGGGATTTTAGAACTAAAAAAAAGTGAAAAGAATTTCCCCTTCTGAAGCTCAAAGGTAGAGGGTGCTGAAGAGGCCCTGTGCCAGCCCAAGTCTAGGGTAGGCAGAAGCTATGAGTAAGCGGAGGTCAGCGAGTGGCTCCATCTGGCCTGTGACTGAGCAGCAGAGGGGCAATCTGTGGGTATTTGCTTGTTAGAGAAGTTCTTGGAGCTCTCTTAGGATCTGGATTACTTTGTAATTCTAGTCTGCAAGAAATCCCACTCTGCAGTGGCTTCTGTTGTAGGTTTTTGCAGGTTTTGCATAATTTCTCAATATGTATATATATATATATTTTTTAAATATTTTATTTATTTATTTGATAGATCACAAGCAGGCAGAGAGGCAGGCAGAGAGAGAGGAGGAAGCAGGCTCCCTGCTGAGCAGAGAGCCCGATGATGCGGGGCTCGATCCCAGGACTCCGAGATCATGACCTGAGCCGAAGGCAGCGGCTTAACCCACTGAGCCACCCAGGCGCCCCTCAATATGTATATTTTTATTAGATCTCCCTTCTGCCTCTGCTGGTTATCTCTTTCCAGATGAATGTGACTAAAAGAGACCCATATGGACTTTGGTGTGGATTCCTGGGTTTTCTCTTAACTCTGCCTTTGAGAATTACTTAATGTCTGGAAGCATAAGTACCCGATAACTGTGTCCTTACAGTGTTGTACAGGTTAACCAGGGTAATAGTAGTAAAAAGGCCTGTGCAGTGTTTAACGCATATTAGGTGATCAAAATTTGTTAGATACCTTCCTCTTTTCTTCCTGGTTTTTTTTTTTTTTTTCTTTTTTAATTATATGCCTCCCTCTCAGTATTAAGTGGTCTTAGTTTGTAAGAGTCACCCTTGTAGTTCTTTGACCTCTGTCCTGTTAGGTGCTCCTAAACTATAACCAGAAGAGTGTCATGGCAATTACCTTTCCCTTCATAAATGTACTGACACTGTCACTGGTCTTATTGAAGCCAGTCATGTAGCTGATTGTAGGTGGATTTCAGACTGATTAGTACTTGTACTTAGAAGAGATAGGCCTTCCAAATAGTTTGGAGCAGTGACTTCTAAAGAGAGTGTGGGAACCAGAATGGAAGGGTCAGTCCTCCACATGGTGATGAAAGGAAGAAAGGGTTGGGGTAGCTGTCTGGCTCAGTGGGTAGAGCATGTGACTCTTGATCTCAGCGTCATGAGTTCAAGCCCCATGTTGCATGGAGCCTACTTAAAATAAAGATTAAAAAAAAACTAGAGGCGCCTGGGTGGCTCAGTGGGTTAAAGCCTCTGCCTTCGGCGTGGGTCATGATCCCAGGGTCCTGGGATCGAGCCCCACATCGGGCTCTTTGCTCAGCAGGGAGCTTGCTTTCCCCTCTCTCTCTGCCTGCCTCTCTGCCAACTTGTGATCTCTGTCTGTCAAATAAATAAATAAAATCTAAAAAGAAAAAAAAAATAAAAAGTCTAAAGGAAGAAGAGGTATGCAGAAGCTATCTTGGAGAAATTTGGTTCAGAAGAGGGGAAAAAAGATCAAACATGGAGCTGAGAAGTTCTTAGACCTTGGCCTGGCAAGGAAAGAGAAAAGCACGGGGACAGGACCCGTGGGCAGAAAGAGCTGCAATGGGGTCATGAGCAGTGGCACATTATATACTTTCAAGCTGGGAGGGGACTAGGGATAATGTAAGTCTCTAAGGAATTTTGGAAGCAAGTTTTCCAGGATCTTGAGAGGGCTAACTGTTGTTGGGAAAGGTCATTTATTATTGTCTAATAAAACCTTAGTTATGAGCCCCCTTTAGATGTATATCAGTGGGCCATATGCTTGGGGAATGATTGCCAACACATATCTTGGGGTGTTTAGAGATAAAAGAAGTTTCCAAAGGAATTTTTTTTTTTAAGATTTATTTGTCAGAGAGAGAGAGAGAGAGAGAGAGCGTGCGCGCACACCAGCAGGCAGAGTGGCAGGCAGAGGTGAAGAGAGAAGCAGGCTCCCTCCAAGCCAGAAGCCCGATGTGGGACTCGATCCCAGGATCCTGGGATCATGACGTGAGCCGAAGGCAGCGGCTTAACCGACTGAGCTACTCAGGCAACACTCCAAAGGAATTTTTATATGTTAAAGTGGACTTACATGGGAGGGGCGTTGGGGTAGTCAGGCCAGGATCACCTTTTGCCCTTAGCAAAGTATTAACATTGAGGCAGTTGAGTCCCTAGAGAATGTCACTCTCCCTGTTTCAGGGACTTGTCAGTGGGCTGTAGGTAGTAAGGAAATTTAGTAAGTTTTCTTTTGCCTTTGTTTTACACATCAGTTTCAGTGTTGGGGAGCTCTGGAATTCTAGCCAGGACTTAGTCCCTGTCAGCAGAACTCTCCCAGTCTGCAACCAGACAGGAAGCGCTTATTTATAGAGGCTGGGAAGGCTTTAGGAGGCAGCTCTGATGTATTCTGGAAATGGAGGCCAGGACGAGCGAAGAAGCAAACTGAAGATTCCTTTGAGGTACGGATGTATGCATGTACCTGTGCCACATAAAGAACCATACTCGTGACCCTCTGCCTGTGTGTTACAGTTTTACAGACCTTGGCAGCAGGAGTACGTGCGACAGCTTTGCCAGGCGAAGGCCGTGCTGTGGACGTGTGCAGAACCGCGCTGCACGGGTAGTCAGGAGCAACATCCCTGACCTCCAGGGCACAGGTCCTCCAGACGAAGTCTCCGCGCCTCTCCTGGAGGCATTAGGGTGTCCAAGAAGCATAGGAATCCCAGGTAAGATGGCAGGGCGGTTTCTCTTGCGGGGCTCTGCTGGGCTGTGTTCTGCATAGCCATTCTTGACAAATGTCACTTGATGGGTTGCCTGCGCTGGGTATGGCTTCATGAGGACATGCATCATGGGGAGAACATGGTCTCTGTTTGCAAAAAAGCCTACAGCCTGAGGAGAGATTCCGTAACTAGCACTGAGACTGCTCTTAGGAACTGCTCTAGATTTCAAGCCTTTTTTTCCCCCCCTTTAGGACCATGGCTAATAAAACCCAGGAGGTTGGTGGCATCCATTTCCCTTTTCCCTTCACACCCTATTCCATCCAGAAAGACTTCATGGCAGAGCTGTATCGGGTGTTGGAAGCTGGCAAGATTGGAATATTTGAGAGTCCGACTGGCACTGTAAGTACACCGTAGAAGCCACCTAGCATGCTTGTTAACCTAGGCAGAAATTTTCATGGTTTGAAGTTGGGCAAAGTTGTTCCCTTGGTTTACCTTTCTGAGTAACAGTCACTTCCTCTATTAAAGATTAAATGCAGCCCCAGGGTCTGAGAACAATTAGGCTGAAGACAAAGGAGAATGTGAATGCCTATAGGAACCAAGACCTATAGCCCCAAAGCTTTCCAAATTGTTCTGGGCACACAAGTGCTTTGATGTTGAGAAACGGATTACCTTGGCTTTTCACAGGTTAAACATACTGGTTTAGTCTTCAGGAACGAGGTTACCAGGTTACCGAGTGCTGGAGAGATCCAGTCAAAGGCCTGTGAGCTTTTCCTTCCAGGAGTGGAATGACAGAGGGATTTATAAGAGGGTGGCCAGGAAGAGCATTAGAGCTATAGTGAGCAGCCCCCGCCTCTCCTTTAGAAAGTACTATGCGATAGTGAGCGTTGATGCGAAGGTCCCCCAGCCAGGCTGCAACCTCCTGGAGGTCCTCCATGTCCCTGTCATCCCGTGGAGCTTGGCAAGTTCCATCCACAGGAGGCTCTCAGGCTGGTACAGCCGGCCTTCTTCCCCTACCAGTCCCCTGAGATGGCTTTTAGTATCAGCAGTGACTTCCTGATTAGTAGATTTGGGTGTTTTGAGTCCTTACTTGACCTCTCTGCAACAGTTAATGTTGTTGAACATCTCCCTCTCCTTTGTTTAAAGTCATATGAAAAATCTAATAAAGAATAATGCATGCATGTCATTTAAAAAGTTAAGTTTATCAAACTTGGTTCTTTGGGCAGGTACTTTGAATCCTTTTAACTGGTTCCTAAGAAATACACTTGCATAGCATATCTGGAATTGTAAGCTTGGTGCTGTTTCTCAATTTATTCTAGTCATTGTCCTCTTGTGATAGCTAAGATGTAGCTCTGTAACCGTTTCCTTTCCCTCCTGCGCCCCATCCTCTCGATGTAGCTTAGATGGAAAATTTTAGCCTCTGCTAAGTCAGGATGCTCTGATTATGGGTTTTCTTCTGGAATAATTTTTGTTTTCCCAGAGTTGATAATTGCCTTTTAAAGTTTGTCTAGTTTTTAGTATATCTACATCACTTTCTCACACCATCCAGGGGCTTCTCTGTATGCTAGTCCATCCCTAAAATTATAGCTTACTCAGGCTGCACAGGTGCCATAACAAAATACCACAGACTGGGCGCTAAGAGGACAGAAATTTATTTCGCAGTTTGGGAGGCTGGCAAGTGCAAGGTTTGGGCAGCTTCTGGCTTCTGGTGGGGACTCTTCCTTCTTGTAGGGGTCCCCCTTCCTACTGTGTCTTCACATGGGGGAGAGATCTTTGGTGTTTCTCCTCCTTTTATTGGGACATTAGTTTTATTAGATCAGGGCTCTGCCCTTAGGACCTCATTTAACTGTAATCCCCTCCCTGAAGGCCCTTTCTCCAGTACAGTCACATGGGGGTTAGGGTTTCAACATACGAATTTATGGGGGACACAGTTCTGTCTGTAGTAGTTACTAACTCCATTTTACCCTGGAGACTTTCTTCTCTATGTTCTCCTAAGATCTACTTCACAACTGTTATACTAGGGATTTCCTTTCTCTCCTTGAAAAAAAGAAAAATCAACTTTATATTGACATAAAATGAAACATGCCTCTTTTAAATCCCCAAGTCAGTGAGTATTGACAGATGTAAACCCCATATAACCACGACCACAGTGAAGACGGAAAACGTTTCCATCAGCCCAGGGTTTGTTGTACCCTTGGCTGCTGTTCTTCTCCTCTCACACCCGCACCGCAGCCAGTGATCACCTCCCATCTCTGCAGACACATTCTGTCTTTGTAAAGTTTCATGGGAGTGGAATCATACAGTAAGTCCTGTCTGGTGACTGGCTTCTTATACTGGCTGAGAATATATTTTGGGGATTCATCCGTGTTGTGTGTATTCTTTTCTGGGTTGGATTTTCTGTTTTCTGGATTCCATGTCTTCTTGGTTCACTTTTGTTTTGGAAGAGAACATTCCTGAAGGGTCCCATGGAGGGGTAAGATTTTGAGACTATGCTGGTCTGAAAATGTGTCATTGTGCCTTTTCACTTGCTTGATAGCGATTGGTTGGTTGGGTGTATAATTCTAGCGGCTGAGTGCTTTTCCCTCCCGGATGCTCCCTCCACCCTCTGGGTTCCATTGTTGCTACTGGGAAGTCCAGTGCAACCTGCACCTCGGTCCTTGGTGGCCTGGTCCACCCACCTCGCCCTCCAGAGTTTCAGGATATCCAGTGTCCTTTGTATTCTGAAACTTCTTTTTTTTTTTTTTTTTTAATTTTATTTATTTATTTGACACAGAGAGAGATCACAAGTAGGCAGAGAGGCAGGCAGAGAGAGAGGAGGAAGCAGGCTCCCTGCCGAGCAGAGAGCCCAATGCGGGCCTCGATCCCAGGACCGTGGGACCATGACCTGAGCCAAAGGCAGAGGCTTTAACCCACTGAGCCACCCAGGCGCCCGTATTCTGAAACTTTTTGGTGGTGGTTTGGAAGAGTGCGGTCAGTTCTTTGAGTTGGCCTCTTGATGGGTACTTTGCAACAGGAAGCTTCTCTCTTTCCATTCTGAGATGTTTTTACACATTTGATAAGCTTCCTGGTACTCCCGTTCTTTGAGTTTGGACCTTCTGGTTAATCCTGTTACTATGTTGTCTTCTAATTGCCTGTCTCGTTGGGCATATTGGTTTGTTTTTGTTCTGTTATGCTTTGAATTCTGCTTTCTTCAAGATTCCTTTGACTTTGTTGTTCAGTCTTTCTCTTCAGTTTATTTCTGTTACTCTGTCTTTAATATTTAGGACCTTGCTCTTATTCTCTGCTTCTTAAAAATAGCATCCTGTTCTAGTCTCCCTGAAATAGTAATATCTTTCTGAGGATATCAATTAAAGTAGCATTTTTGAGTTTTTTCCACCCTGTATCATCTCATCGTCCATTCTCTTCCCTCCCCCAGTCTGGGTTCTGTGCTTTGCTGAGAGGCTTTCCTCAAATGTCTGGTGACCCTCGGCTGTCTTCTGTTGGTGTTCAAGAAAAAGCCACCGCAGGGTTGGCTGGAGGCTGGCTGTGGGCTGATGGGCTAGCCTCTCTGTTGGGGCTTCTGGTGATTAGCATCTGTGTGATGTCGCTCGAGCCATCCATTTTTTCCAAAGTAGGCTCCTTTAAACCCTTGCCTTCTGGTCCCAGCCTGTTGGCCAGTATTCTTGAAGGTGTCTTGGGGAAGTGGCTTCAGGTGCATGGTCTTTCACTGTGTGTCCTGATTTGGGTCTGGCCCTTTTCCCCACCCTTCACGTGACCCGCCATCTCCAGAGCCCTCCTGGCTCAGCCCCTCCAGAGGGTACACGTCCTGTCTCCTGCACGGTGGGGACGTCCCTGGCAGTTTTTGGGCTTCTGAGCATGAACACCAGGGAATCTCTGCAGGCACTCAGGCTTAGCATCCTTTACTCCTCTCAGTTCCGGTTGTCTGCTTTCCATCTCTCCTAAAACCTGTTACTTTCCCTTCTTCCACTTTCTTTGTTTCGGTGGGTTTTAAGCCTCTTTTATTCCTTTGGTGTAATTTTAGCATGTTTCAGAAAAGAACACAGAAGAGCGTGTGTTCATTCTGTCCTGTCTAACCTGGAGGCTCAGGTCCCCATCTCCGCGCTCTGCCAGTTCCATGTAACCTGTTCCTCTGCTCAGCCCTTTCTTGGCGATGTTCTTGGGTCCAGGGCCTCCTGTCCTTGTGACTTCAGTTATTGTCCCATTCTGACACTGTCTAAATCACGCCTGTAGTAAGCTCTTCTCCCCATCATTGGCGTCCCACTGCTCACCGGGGTGCCGTACCATTATACGCAGTGCCTCACCTTTGCCTCAGTGGCTGAGCTCCCCGCTTAGCTCTTGATGCTGCTGCTTCCCTTGTCCGTGTCCCCTTTATAGCCTTTTATCAGTCCCCCATATTGTGCTGACCTCTCCACCTGGATGGAGCCCATGCTTCACAGGGAAATGTGACGCCCCATGGCCATGGTTCGTGTGTTAAGTTTGTGCCTATGGGCATTTTCTAGAGAACTCTGTTTCTCAGCATCAAGCCCAGTGCTCGCAACAGTGTGGGTGTTTTAGAGTGCATGAATGTACTTGGCGTAAACTTTAGAACTGTGATATCTTGGATGGTACCCCATGAAATAACATTGTTCAAAGCTAGGTATGTTGTGGATACTTTATTAAATTTATTTCCTAACATGAGCATTTGGTCATATATCCTTTTAATGTTTTCCAATTTAAATTTTTGTTGTCTTACTAGAGGATATAGAATTGCAGGCCTCAGTTCTCCTTTCTCTTTGTGATAGAGTGTGCCCGCAGTGGTTGTGGGAAGATAACTCTGACATTTCCTTAGGAAGGTCCTCAGCTCCCTTTCCAGGGGAGGATGCTGGCTCTCTGACCTGCTGTCTGACCCTGGGCCACTGTTATAGGGTGTGGCTCTCCTGACCCTAGCTTGTTGATGGCTGAAGCTAGTGGCTCCCCATTTTACTGGCAATACAGAATGTGTTCTCGAGCTGCTGCTGGGGAGGGCTGTTTAGAAGGCTTTGCCATTCTGTATTCATCAAAAGCTGAGAGAAATGGTATATATGGGCTTTTCCAAAGATATGTTATCCATTCATTCTTCAGAAGTGCCGTTCTGTCATAGGGCCTTTTAAGAATTTCATGAAATAGGGACGCCTGGGTGGCTCAGTTGGTTAAGCGGCTGCCTTCGGCTCAGGTCATGATCCCAGCGTCCTGGGATCGAGTCCCACATTGGGCTCCTTGCTCGGCAGGGAGCCTGCTTCTCCCTCTGCCTCTGCCTGCCTCTCTGTCTGCCTGTGCTCGCTCGCTCTCTCTCCCTCTGTCTCTGACAAATAAATAAATAAAATCTTAAAAAAAAAAAAAAAAGAATTTCATGAAATAGGGAACGCCTGGGTGGCTCATTCGATTAAGTGCCTGCCTTTGGCTCAGGTCATGATCCTGGGGTCCTGGGATTGAGTCCTGCATCAGGCTGCCTGCTCAGCGGGGAGCCTGCTTCTCCCTCTCCTGCTCCCCCTGCCTGTGTGTGTGCTCTTTCTCTGACAAATAAATAAATCAAATCTTCATGGGATTTTATTTCAAGTTCCTTTCAAGGGAACTTCATGAAATAGGTTCTTATTCAAGGACACAATAATTTATTACTTAACAAAAGCAAAAAAAAAAAAAATCTAGCTCCTATTGCTCACTTATGTACCAGGTGTTCTAGTCCTGGTGTAGGTATTAGCTTTTATGAGTATGAACTTACTTAATGCTTACGGCAATTCTGAGGAAGGTACTATCTCTCTCTCTCTCTCTCTGTCTGTCACATACACACACATATACATCGCCTCCTTTTTTATCTTATTTCTTTAACTCTTCCCATTTTTGCCTATGTGGAGCACACAAGCGTAGGGAGGTTAGCTTCAGGTCACAGAGCTGGTGAGTGGAAGAGCCAGTGTTTGGCCAGGCAGCCTGGAGTCTGAAGCCTTAGCTACTGTGCTCCATTCTATCCCCAACCCTACACACTGTGCATTTTACCTACAGTTCGTTCAAGCCCGTATTAGGTTCAGGACCCCTCTGGATGCTCTGAGACCCCCTTGGCTTAAGCAGGCTTGGATAGTTGACTGCCTGACCAGAGCATGTTGGCTCCTGCAGAGGCTCGCCCGAACTGAACTGCCCTTTGGACCCCAGAAGCAGCAGCTTTAGGGAAGGAGCCCATGCAGCAGCCTCCCGGAAGTTAGTGCTCCCACTGCCCTAACAGAGCTCCACAGGCTGGGGACTTAACCCACAGAAGCATACTGTCTCACAGCTCCGGAGGCCAGAAGTGCAGATGCAGGGTGGAGGCCAGAAGTGCAGATGCAGGGTGTCGGCAGGGAGGGCTTTGAGAGCAGACTGTTCCGGCCCCCTCCTCAGTATGCCCGAGGCCAGCCTTCCCTGTGATTCACTGCGTTGCCTTCCCTCTGGGCTTGCCACGGTGGCCCAATTTCCCCATTGTGTAAAGGACACCAGTCTTAGTGGATCGGGGCCCTCCTCTTTCTTAACTACATGCATCTGCAATGACCCTATTTCCAAATAAGGTCATGTTCTGAGACATACAGTTAGGACTTAACATATGAATTTGGGGGGGACACAATTCAACCCACAGGGAGGACCCATAGGGGATATTCTAGTCTTTAAATTAAGAATTGTGTTCTCCAGAGCAATTAGTTTGCTTTAAAAATTTTTTGAAGACTGGATCTCATGGGACTGATCCTGTTCTGTCTGCACATGGCTGTATTAAAGTACAGAGCCAAATGTGGCTCCCCATTGCGAGTATATAGGATTTCAAGCCATGTGTTTTTGGCCTTAATTCTTTTTTGGGACTTTATCTAATTCCTCAGCTTCTAATTATGTTAACTTGCAGTACTTATATGTAACCTGATAAGCCACATTAAATTATCTTAGGAATAGTGAGCTATATAATTAAGCCAGGAACTTTATTTTTATTTTTTTTTTTTCTTATCTTTTCTGGCCGTCCTTTTGCTAAATCCCTTCCTGTCCTTTCTCAGGTTGGTGTTAGAGTGCTTTCTAATATTTAAAGTTAGACCTTGCTTGAAGGCTTTATTAAAATGAGAAACGTTATTTGGAAAGCTTTGGTTTTTGTTCTTGTTTTTTGAAGACTTGTTTTCTTCTTGTAGGGAAAATCTTTAAGTCTTATTTGTGGGGCTCTTTCCTGGCTCCGTGACTTTGAGCAGAGGAAACATCAGGAAGAGGCACGTCTCCTTGAAACTGGAACTGTCCCCTTGAGTGACGGGAAGGAGCAGCCCCTGTCTCTCTCATCCTCCTGCAAAGAGACTCCAGACACCCCGAGGCCTGCAGGAGAGCCTGACTGGGTGACTCAGTTTGTGCAGAAGAAAGAAGAAAGGGACCTGGTGGACCGCCTGAAGGTGAGCTGTGGGGTGACAGGAGCTGGGAGCCATCCAGGAAACAGGGCTTGGCTGGTGATTTGGGGTTGATTCTGGGGGTTAGCATGTCCTTTGCCTTTGCAGTGCCTCCTTGAGTCAGTGGTGCTGCACCTGTGCTGTCTTTTCAAAGCTGATGTCAACAGGCCTTTTCTAGACGGGGTGGACGGTACCATTCATTACCCACCCAGGGAAGGAGCCTCACCGTTGCCCTTGGCAACGCGGTTCTGCGGCTGCAGACTCCGTTAAGGGAATGAATTTGATTGAGAGGATGTGGCTTTGGGACAAAGTGTGTGGACCTCCCACACTGAGGGTCAGGGATGCTGCTGCCCCCACTGGAGTGTTGCCCACGGAAGGGAGAACTGCCCTGCTCCGGTCTCTTTAAGAAAGGCATGGTTGGGGACTTCAGCAGGGGTTTTCTTTCTGGCTGCTTCACCCTCTAGGAGGAGCAGGTCAGGCGGAAGAAGCGAGAGGAGCGCCTGCGGCAGATTCGGCACAATGCGCAGCTCAAGTATGCAGCCAAGCGCGTGGTGAGCGCCCTCTGCCGGGGTGGCGGGGACAGTGCGTGGGTGCCGTTGCTCCCCTGGGTGAGTGGCCAGGGCCGGACACCCCCCAACCCCGCAAGCTGAGTTCTCATCCCCCAGTAGCTGCAGCGTGAGCTGAGGTATTGATACCTTAGACACTGGGAGGAGAGTGAGGCCTGTCGTAGTGGCGTGTGTGTCATCCTCCGTGGTAGCCGCTCAGAGGCCGCTCGGTCCGGGGGGGCGGGGGTCCAGTCCTGAGATTGGTTTCTCTTTCCCGCTTGGCGATGCTCCTCGGCAGAGACAAGAGGAAGAAGAGATGGAGCGTCTCCTCTGCCTCAGCAGGGAGATGCTAGCGGCCGGAGCAGAGGCCGAGCCTCGGGAGCCGCTGGCGTCCGGGGAGGAGGAGCTGGTCCTCGCGGAGTACGAGAGTGATGAGGAGAAGGGAGCAGCTCATGGGTGAGACGACGCTTTTCCTTCACCCACTGCCCCTGCCCTGGTTGCCATGGGGGCGGCTCCTGTGCCCAAAGACAGGCAGGTTGCTTTGCCCCTCACAAGGCGTCCGAAGGGATGGCGTGCCAGCCCCCTGCCCCTGCTCTCAGCCGGGCTCCTCTGGAGCACTCGGAAGGCTGGAGACAGTGCCCTTCCGTCTGCCGGCACTGGCTCTGTGGGTCTGAGCTCCGTTGCCCCCACCAGGTTTGCGTCTCCCTGTCACACCCAGTGGGGGCTGTGCCTAGCTGAAGCCACAGGGCTGGGGACAAAGCAGCTGGGCCTTGGAGCCAGCTGGGCCGGCTCTAGTCGTGTGCTCCTTGCTCCCAGTTGACACCGTGGGAGCTTTAGGATGTAAACCATCAACGTATCCTTAGCCTAAGCTGTTGTCTCCACTGTCTGGTTTCTGATTTGTGAGCAGTAAGCTGCTGGGTGGAGTAGAAGACCCTGAAGATGACAGCTGCCCCTTGTCGGGGCTCCTCTTTCATTCACGCTTCAGTTGCACAGATGCCCTTTGAGGGCCAGCTCTAGGTGCAGCGTGGTCCCCGATGTCAAGTCCGCCGGATGCGCCCCCTACCCTGGGCGAGCTCGCATGTGGTTGGAGCTGGGGGGTGGGACAAACACACAGATGGTAACTGCGCAGAATGAACGCATTTGCCCAGGAGGAAAATAAAACCGGGGCAGTGGGTAGAGTGTGGGGTTGCTCCTCTGGGTGAAGCCAGGAGAGGCCTCTGAGGAGGTGAGGAAGGGTGAGAAGGAGCCGTGGGAAGACCTGGAGGACAGGGCTAGTCAGAGGTCTGCTGGTGTCCTGGTCTGGAAAGGGGAGCAGGTTTGGTGGGTTGAGGGACACAGAGAAGGTCCAGGGGCTAAAAGCAAATGAGGTAGAGAAGTTTGTGGGGGCCTCGGAGTTCCACCGAGGGCCCTGGGTGTTTTTCTCCATGTTGCGGGGCTGTGGGCCATTACAAGTGGGGGAGCGAACTGATCGGGTTTAGGCGTTAGGAAGGGCATTGAGGTCATTTTGACATCAGGGGCTCTGCCCCCAAGGCATGCGTGCCCCTAGAGGTCATTCCTCTTGGGCTCCCAGCTTGGAAGGGAGGTTTCCTGCTCTTCTAAAGGTAACTGCAGGTCCCATGTGTCCCACGTTGTCATTGACACTGTGGTGACTGAGTGTGTGTAGAGTGTAACTCCAGTGTCTGAAACCTGCTGTTGACGGGTGATGGAGAAAACCTTCACAGCTGGGCTGCAGCGCACCATCTGACTTGACCCAAGGACGCTCGAAGTCCCGGCTGCCCTGACTTCCTTCTTTCCCCCTCAGCTTTATTGAGCTACAGTCAGGATAGAGCACTGTGTGAGTTGAAGTTGCGTACCATGAGGGTTTGATAGGTGTCTGTATTGCAAAGGGACCACTGCGATGAGGTCACTTAATTCATTACCTCACATACGTAACCTTTCTTTAAAAATGTGCTGTTTTGGCACCTCTCAAAGAAACAACACGGTGTTGTTAACATGGTCACTTATTTTATTAATTAATAAAACTTATTAATTAAAATAATTTTATTACTTATTAATCACTTATTAATGATCATACCCTTTGGCTACCTTCACCCACTCCTGAGCCCCTAGCAATCTACTCTCTACTTCTAGGAGTTTGGGTGTTTTTTTTTTGTTTGTTTTGTTTTGTTTTGTTTTTTGTTTTTTTTTATTCCGCACATGAGATGACCCAGAATTTGTCCTTCTCGGACTTAACATCACTTACCACAATGCCCTCAGGGTTCATCTGGATTGTCACAGCTGGCAGAATTGCCTGCCTTTTTATGGCTGTTTTACCGTGTGTGCGACGTGTTCTTTATGCATTCATCTGTCCCGGGGTGCTTCGGTGGTTTTCATTAGTTGCTGCTGTGAACAGGGAGGTGCAGGGATCTTGAGATACGGATTTCGTTTCCTTCGGGTGTATACCTAGAAGTGGACTTGCCTAATCATATGCTACTTAATATTTTTAATTTGGGGGGAACGTCCATGCTGTTTTCCAAAGTGGCAATTTACGTTCCTGCCCTCAGGGCACAGGGTTCCCTTTTCTCCACATTCTTGGTAACACTTATCTTTTCTTCTTTTCTTTTTTAAAGATTTATTTTTTTGAGAGTACACACGTGCGCTTTTGTGCACCTGTGTGCACAAGCAGGGTCGGGGGAAGGGAGAAACAGGCTTCCTGTGCCTGCTGAACAGGGAGCCCAGCATGGGGCTCCATCCCAGGATCCTGAGATCGCAATCTGAGTGGAAGGACCTGAGCGGAAGGTAGCTGCTTAAATGACTGAGCCACCCAGGCACCCTTGCCAACACTTAATCTTTTTGATCATAGCCATTCTAACAGGTGTGAGGTCATAGCTCACTGTGGTTGTGTTTGTTTTTTTTTTTTTTAAGATTTTATTTATTTTATTTGACAGAGATCACAAGTAGGCAGAGTGAGAGGGGGAAGCAGGCTTCCTGCTGAGCAGGGAGCCCGATGCAGAGCTCCAACCCAGGACCCTGAGATCATGGCCTGAGCTGAAAGCAGAGGCTTAACCCACTGAGCCACCCAGGCACCCCACTCATTGTGGTTTTGATTTGCATTTCCTTGGGGGATCAGCATCTTTTCACGGACCTGTTGACCTTTTGTATGACTTCGAAAAAATGTCTGTTCAGTTCCTCTGCTTTTTCTTCGTCACATCATTTCTTTTTTGCTCTTGAGTTTTAGGAGTTCCTTATATATTTTGGTTATAGGCCCCTTATCATCAGATTGGTGGTTTGCAAATATTTTCTCCCATTTTTTGGTTCCCGTTCCATTTTGTTTTTTCTTTTGCTGTAGCAAAAGCTTTTTATTTTGACATAGTCCCACTTGTTTATTTTTGCTTTGCTTATACTTTTGATGTCATAGCAAAAGAAATCACTGTGAAGACCAATGTCATAAAGCTTTTTTCCGTGTGTTTTCTTCTAGGAGTTTTAGGCCTCACATTTAAGTCTTTAATCCCTTTTGAGTTAGTTTTTGTAAGTGGTGTAGGATAGGGATTGCGTTTCATTCTTTTGCATGTGACTCTTCCATTTCTTCAGCACATACTGAAGAGATGGTCTTTTCCTCATTGAGTATTCTTGGCTCCCTTGTCAAATACTACTTTACTGTATATGCATGGGTTTATTTCTGGGTTCTGTTCCACGAGTCTTGTGTCCATTTTTATGCCAGTACCTTCCTGCCTTGATTACTCTACTGTTTTTATGCCAGTACTGTACTCTTGATAACATACTGTTGAAAATCAGATCGTGTGATGCCTCCAGCTTTGTTCTTCTTTCTCAAGATTGTTTTGGCTATTTGGGGTCTTTTGTGGTTCCATATGATTTTTAGGATCTTTGTTTTCCTATGTCTGTTAAAAATATTGCTGGACTCTTGATATGGGATGACACTGAATCTATAAATGGATTTCAGTAGTGTGGACATTTCAGCAGCATGAATTCTTCTGACCTGCAAACATGGGACATTCTGTCGTTCGTGTCTTCAGGTTCTTTCATCAAAGACTTGTAGCTGTGAGTGTGTAAGTGTTCACCTCCTGAGTATTTTATTGTCTTTGATGCCATCGTAAACTAGACTGTTTTCTTTATTTCTATCTCAGATAGTTTGTTGTTAGCATGCAGAAATGAAATTGATTTTTGTGTGTTGATTTTGTACCTTGCAACTTCACTGAATTTGCTAATTAGTCCTAACAGTTTTTTGGCGCAATCTTCAGGCTTTTCCTGTGTATGATCATGTCATTTGCTAACAGGTAGTTTTACTTCTTCCTTCCCAGTTTGGATGTTTTTTCTTCCTTTTTCTTGGCTGATGGGTCTGGCTAGGACTTCCACTGTGTTGCAGAGAAGCATTGAAAGTAAGCACCTTCGTCTTAGTCTTGTCTTAGTGGGAAAACTTTCACTGCTGAGTACAGTGTTAGCTGTGGGCTCATCACAGATAGCCTTTGTTGAGGTACGTTCCTTCTCTACCTCATACGGCAAAGTTTTTATCATGAATGGGTGTTGGATTTTGTCATTTGTTTTTTCTGTGTTACTGAGATGATCATGTGACTTTTGTCTATCATTCTGTTGACTGATGTGTCACATTTACTGATTTGCATACGTTGAGCCATTCTTGTCTTTCAGGCAGGAGCCCCACTTGATCCTGGGGCCTGATCCTTTTCGTGTGCTATTGAACTCAGTTTGCTAACATTTTGCTGGGAGTGTTTGCATCTGTCTTTATCGGGGATATAGTAGCTTGTACATCTTATGTAGTGTCATTATCTGGCTTTGATATTGGGGTAATACTGGCCCCATAAAATGAGTTTGGGCGTGTTCCTTCTCTTCTGTGTTTTGGAAGAGCTGGAGAAGGGTTGGCATCATTTCTTTAAATATCGAAATCATCAGTCTGGCCAGTGAAATCATCTGGCCCTGGGCTTTTCTTTGTTGGTGCTAGAGGCTTGCCCTTAAGCACAGATTTCGGGACTTGGATTAGAACCAAAACTTCTGACCCTGGCCAGGGCTGAGATGGTCAGACCTCTTTAGGCATCCCACCTCGGGGAGGTAGGACGTGCTCCGCAAACCCTTTGCCTCCTGCCTCCAAGATTATTTGCCCGCTCCTGTACTTCTCCTCCAGAGCCCCCCCCCCCCCCCCCCCCCCGCCCCGGGGGATAAGAGAAAGGACTTGAGTGGAGTTTGTGAATATTAGAGTAACAAAGTGCTACTACCCAGGGCCTGGGCCTGAGCCATTAATCCTGCAGATTAACTTCGGCAGCTTCATGCCTTGGTATTTGGGGAGGGAGGAGGAGCCTCTCTGAGAACACAACCAATTTTTTTTTTTTTTTAAGATTTTATTTATTGGGGCACCTGGGTGGCTCAGTCATTAAGCGTCTGCCTTTGGCTCAGGTCATGATCCCAGGGTTCTGGGTTGGAGTTCTGTATTGGGCTCCCTGCTCAGCAGGAAGCCTGCTTCTCCCTCTCCGACTCCCCCTGCTTGTGTTCCCTCTCATGCTGTGTTTCCCTCTGTCAAATAAATAAAATCTTAAAAAAAAAAAAAAAGATTTTTATCTATTTATTTGACAGTGAGTGAGAGTGAGAGCACAGGCAGGGGGAGCAGCAGAGGGATAGGGAAAAGCAGACTCCCCGCTGAGCAGGGAGCCTGAGGTGGGGCTCAATTCCAAGACCCTGGAATCATGACCCAAGCCGAAGGCAGACATTTAACTGACAGCCACCCAGGTGCCCCAACCAGTTCTGAACCTAAAATTTCTGCTCTTCCTTTCTTCACACATCCTTTTTATCTAGATCCTGTTGAGTTTGCTTACCTTGTGCTACGTGATTTAAATCAAGGCCTGTCAGACAAAGGGTTCTGAACAATTATTTATTGACCAGAAAGGCAACCCTATAAATAATTCCTTTTCTAATTGCCCAAGGGAATTAGCATTTCTGCTTTAAAAAAAAAAAAAATTCCCAGGTGAACAAAAAGAATCCCAGTGATGGCCCTGTAGGGGGAGTGTGTCTGTAAAAGATTTTGTTTGGGGGGGAGCCTAGACTAATAATGTCAGCTAACCATTCTGCCTTGTAATGCAGACTTGACCTCCCTCCCAGTCCCTCAGTGCATGTGAGCTCTTCCTTCATTGCTGGGAGGGGTGAGGTGCCAAGGAGAGAAGAGGTTTGTCTGGTTCTGGGCAACAGCATCTTTTTTCAGTCAGTTGTGGCATCCCTCAGGAAATGTGCTTGGAGTTCCTGCCGTGTGCCAAGGCCGGGGTGAGTCCCCTGGCCCTCTCAGAAGCAAGACACCCCAGAGTCTTGCCTGCAGACATGAGTCTCGAGAGGCGGACAGACCCAGAATAAGTGCTTTTGAAAGGAGATGGGTGTTGCAAAGAACAGGTGCAGGGGGCCACAGCAGTGTGGCGAGGGGCTGGCCGAGCCTCTCGGGGAGGTGGAGGACGGCGGCTGTGTTTATGTGGGCATCTCAAGGTTGACACAGTTGGCTAGGTAAAAGAGGAAGTGAGGGGCGAGCACCTACCAGGCAGAGAGAACAGCATGTCCGAGGCTGCGAGGGGGTGAAGAGCACGTTCTGCGGGGACTGAGAGAACTCCAGTTTGCTGGAGGCATGGACAGTAAGGACGGAGTAGCCTTTGATGACGGACAGAGTCGGACAGTGAATGTAGGTTTTGGGAATACTGTGCCCCTCTCTCCTTTCCCTCGTGAGTGCCGGGGGGAGGATCGGGCTGGTATTAGCTCGGTGCATCTCTCTGACCCAGTGGGCAAGCAAGCAGGCACTTGCTTTGGTGGAACTTTGTTGCTGGGATGTGTCTTGTGTGTCTCTGGCTCAGAGCTCAGCCTCAGCTCTGCCGGCCTCCAACGACAGGGACCGAATCTGGCTTAGGTCCAGGGCTCGTTGTGGGCACGCAGTAGGTGCTCACTCAAGTGTGTCTTCAGGTGGCCTGAGTTCTCTGAGTTTCTGTGTTCTTTTCTCTCTCAGAGTGGACGAGGACGAGGATGACCCAGAGGAAGAACATGTAACTAAGGTAAGACATTGTGTCCTGGGTGTTCTGGGATTGGTTCTGAGTCCGGGGCTCTGTGTCTGCCCCCCTGGCTGCTTCTCGCTCTGTCATCAACAAAGAGCCTCTAGTCTCCTGACTCTGGGGCTCCCCAGACCCAGACCTCGGTGTTGGGGTGCTCACTTGGCAGGCCCATGGACCGGTGGTGTCTGTCTGGAGGTGCTAGGGGGTGAGGGCAGGCCTGAGCAAGAGCGCCCTGCCCTTTGGTTCCCTCTTCTCTTGTCTGTGTTTCCGTTGGCACGGAGCACTGGGAGGTATGTAGGGTTTGGACATTTGTCATGTTTTAAAACAGTTGGTGTCATTTGTGTAAGACTTTGGTTTTCTCTGTTAAAAGTAGATATTTTTTCCCTATTTCTCTTCTCGCTCTTAGTCTTGGAGGAGCATAGAGCATAGCTCAGCTTCCCTTGTCCTACTGCAAGCCTGGCCCCCCAGCCTTTTGGAAGGAGTGTGTGGGCAGCCCACCCCCGACACGCTCGCCAGAATCTGTTCTTTCCCACTGGGGAGCCACAGCTCAGGGAGGCAGCCTGTCCTGAGATGACCAAGCCCCATGAAGTGGCCGGATTCATGGCTGAGCAGGACTGATGCCTCCATGTTGTGGGTGTTCTTGTAAACTTCTGGAGCTGAGGTGGGGAGGTGGGGACTGCCTGGGCCCCAAGTTAGCTGAGATCTGCTGTGGGACAGAGTCCCGTTGCTTTAGGTTTGTGTGTTTGTGGCCACTATCCCCAGTCCCTCAGCCTACCGGGCCGTGCATTCCTTGATGTGCAGAGAATGGAGATCTTGTAGTCTCGTTTCTAAAATCCCCTGCTCCTCCTCGGAGCAGATTTACTACTGCAGTCGGACACACTCCCAGCTGGCTCAGTTTGTGCACGAGGTACAGAGAAGCCCCTTTGGCAAGGACACCCGGCTCGTCTCCCTCGGCTCTCGGCAGGTACATGGAGGCATTGCGTCTTGGCCTGGGTGCCGTCCCGCTCCCTTTCCTGGGCCTTCATCTTCCTCTTCCAGTCATGGAAGGGTGGTGGGCCCAGGTGCTGGGCAGGCCCCAGAGGGTTGCTGTACATCATGTCGTGACTGCTGTGGCTCTCTGTTTGCCCTCTGTCTTCTAGAACCTTTGTATAAACGATGATGTGAAAACCCTGGGCTCTGCGCAGCTCATCAGTGACCGCTGCGTGGAGATGCAGAGAAGCAAACACGGTAGCCCCCAGCACTAGAGCCGTGCACCTGGGGTGGTCGTGTAGCCTGGGGCAGTACTGAGAAGTGGTGGGGAGCGGGCTGGAAGTGAACCCGGGATGCGGGAGATAGTGTCTTAAGTGGCAGTGACAGTGGAGCGGGCAGCTGGGTCCTTCCTTAAGGTCGTCTCCTTGGGAAAGGCCTTTTGCTTTTTGGGTCCGTGTCTCGTCCAGAACCCTGGCTCTGAGATGATTTTATTGGCTTTTTCTAGAGAACACAAAGTTAAATGCCCAAATGGTGAGACCTTCCTAAATAGTAGTGGGAAGGGTCATGGAATTGGGTCTTGACATTTTAGACCCAGTGCTGGCCCCGTGGACAGGTGTCATTCCTTGTGCCTCTGCCCCCTCAGAGAGGAACAGAGCTGAGGAAGAGAAGCCCAAGAGGAGAAGGCAGGAGCACTGGGCCACATGCCCCTTCTATAGCTACGAGCGGCTGCAGCTCCTCCGAGACCAGGTCCTGGTGGGGGTGAAGGACATTGAGCAGTTGGTGGCACTGGGGAAGGAGGCCCGGGCCTGTCCCTATTACGGGAGCCGGTTTGCCATTCCAGCAGCCCAGGTAAAGACCTTGGAGGGTTGGACAGTAACTCTTGGCTCCAACTGTGGCCTCTGCCACAAGGCATTTCCTCATTCCTCTTAATTCGGGAGGATGTCCCTGGCTGTGGGTGGACTGACCACACAGCACCCAGGTGACCTGTCATCCCCTCTGTCCCAGTGCGTGGGAGTGGGGGTGTCCTGTGGCTCTGGGTTGCAGGAACAGATGGCCTTACTGGGGACAGCAGATAGGAACTGGGAAGGGTGTGCAGTCCTAAAGAAACCAGAGTCCGGGGGCACAGAGCAGCAGGAAGCTGAGAAGAGGCAGGCAGGGGGCTGCAGAACAGAAATGTGTTTCCAAACAGCCTTTGAGACCAACTGTCCTGACGTAGGCCCCTGCCTGTCGGTGTGGGAGAAGGCTGTCTTCTTTTGACTTGCCATGTTGAGGCTCATCTTTACACTGCCCGTTTGGATGGGCATTTGGATCTGCCCATTTGACAGATCCAAAATATTGTTATTTGGTATGGTTTACTGTCTTCTTGCCACTGTTTAATTCGAGTGACTTTTGGAAATAGAGTTTCATTTGTGGAGAATTCCATACAAGCATGAAAAGATTAGGTAGCTTTTCAGAGATACAGGGAACAATGTTAGTAATGATTTTACAGCAGTTAAATGCTTGTTAGTATACCACTCTGAACTGTGTTGCATGGGTGCTCAGAGGGAAATTCTAGAACCTTCCCAGCCCCCACCATTGTTGCATGCTTTCCTGGGGTCTGTCTGCTATGTCACAAGATAAGTGCCATAGATACGTGTGTGCAAATATAAGGTGCCCTGAGATTTTCATGATCTTGACTTTTTGAGACACCTGTCACCTCATTTTTGCTTTGTAGTATCCCACAGAAAAAGCAAAGGCAGGTATTATCCATATGTACACATGAGGACACAGGCCCAGAAAGGCTAAGTGATTTACCTGTTTTCTCACAGCAGGTGGGTAATGGTGCCAGATTAAAGCTGGGCCTTAAGTTACCAGTTTTCTAGAGTTTCACTTTATCAGTATTCTTTTAACTGGGAAATCGGTCTCACGAGTAGCACCGAAAAATTTACAGAGTTCTTATTTTTGTTGCCCTGACCTCTGGCCCTTGGCCCTCACTTGAGATAGAGTTTATTAAGTCCATTTTGCCCATGAAGAAACTGAGGCTCAGATAGTTTAAGTGACTTTCCTAAGTCACGCAGCTAAGAAGTCACAGCCCTGGGACCAGAGCGCAGGGCTACCTTCTAGTACACCAGGGGTGTTCACTGTGTTTTGAGGAACCTCGGGTGCCTCAGAGGTATGGATAAGGCCGGGCAGGGGTTCCACACTCCTCTCTGCTCCCCCTTTCCGCACCCCCACTCTTGGTTCAGTCAGAATCAGATTGGCTAAAACCATTTGCACCAGGCACTTAGAGTAGGCAGGGAACACTTGCCAAAGCAAAGAGTACCCCCCTACCCCCGACCTCCCCCCAACACTGCTCAGGCGGCCGCCCCTCCCCCCAGCTCGTGGTGCTGCCCTACCAGATGCTGCTGCATGCGGCCACCCGCCAGGCTGCGGGCATCCGGCTGCAGGGCCAGGTGGTACTCATCGACGAGGCGCACAACCTGATCGACACCATCACGGGCATCCACAGTGCAGAGGTCAGCGGTTCCCAGGTGGGTCGGCCTCTCCCGTCTTGGGCCAGGGCCTGCCATGGGGCAGAGGGATGTGGAGGGACGTGGATCATTTCTCTAAGCCCTGGAATTGGTCTGGAGGTGGCTTGGGAGAGGGTGCCTTGAGTCGGGGCAGTGGCCTCGTCGGGGGCTAACTGGCTTTCCAGCAGATAGTAGAACTATGGGGACCCAGCTAAGGGGAAGTGGCTCGTGTCCTTGCTCTTCACTGTCCTAGGTCAGTCATCCTGAGTCCCTCCAGCCCAGATGCTAGTATCCGGTTCTCTGTAAGCCAGGATGATAGGGCGAAGGAAGCAGGGGTCCTCACGTAGTTTGGCATTGTTAGCCTTGCTTTGAGGGATGCTCAGGGTTTCTGAGGGCCACTGTTGATTACCTCTTCTGTGCCGTGGCCCGTGCGCAGTATCATGAATTTTCACACTTCTCCACGTGGGCTGGTGTTCCTAGTTAACACTGAGAACTCTGAGATTCCGGGGACTTTAAGCAGTGTGCCAAAAGTCACACAGCTCAGGAGTGTGGAGCTGGGACTTGACCACCGGTTTCTGACCCTGAAGCCCACATGGTATTCCCACCCCCCCTTTTTTTAATTTTATTAGCACGTGTGCATGAGTGGGGGTGAGGATGGGGTAGGAGGGGCAGAGGGAGTGGGAGAAGCAGGCTCCCTGCTGAGCAGGGAGCCTGATGCCGGACTCGATCCCAGGACCCTGAGATTGTGACCTGAGTGAGGTTAAACACTTAACTGAGCCACCCACGTGCCTCCCACCACTTCTACTGACCAATGCCAGGGTTGACCTTAGGCCAGAGTGTAATGGCCACCTCAAACCACTTCTCTGCTTAGTGGAAAATACATCTTTGCCCAACATAGTAAAAACTAACCGGGAGATTCATTACCTGAAAGAGTTAGTCAGCCTCTTGCTTTTTTCACTGACCTAAAGTGGATACTGCAGCAGAACCTCGCTTCCTTCACCTCTCAGCTCCCATCAGTCTCAAGGCCTTTGGTCTCTACCCAGGCCCACTCCCTTTACCACTTCCCATGTGACGTGGCTGGCATTTTCTAGGCATAATCTAAGGTAGAGCCTGGCCTGCCCTCACGTCCATTCTCTGTTCTCTCCAGCTCTGCCAGGCCCATTCCCAGTTGCTCCAGTATATGGAACGATATGGGTAAGACGCTGCCTCCTGAGGGGGAAGGGAAAATCCTGCTCAGTCTCAGAGAAAGCACTGGGGTCTCCACCTCTGGCCTGGGCCCAGCGCCAGGGAGACCAGCGCACTGTTCCCCTCCTGTTCACGATGGTGTGTATCCCACATAGGCCTAGAATGCTCGGGACACCACAGCTGGCTACAAAGGCCTTGGGCCATGGCAAGCCTTCTTTTCTGGGGGTGTATTTGTCGCTCGTGGCCTGCTCTGGAAGACACTAGACAGAAAGGCCTCAGTTTGAGGCACTTGGAAGGGAAGTTGCTTGTGGAGTACTACCACTTGATGTCCATTGGTGTCTCCTCAGGAAGCGTCTGAAGGCCAAGAACTTGATGTACATCAAACAGATCCTGTATCTGTTGGAGAAGTTTGTGACTGTGTTGGGTGGTAAGGAGCACCGTGCCCTCCCTAACCCCTGGCCTGCTACGCTTGTGTGGTCCATTCCCTGGATGCCAGTCAGGACAACTGGGTTTTCTGCATCCCCAAGAATTATCTTGGCCATTGATGGAGAAGATTCTTCTCTCTTAGAGCTTCGTTGAATTGTCTAGCCTTAGATCCTTTTTTAGATTCCTAGTTTATTTCCCCCTGTTCTGAGTCCTTTTTATTTTGCCAGACCCTACTCCCCAGGTAGTAATAACAGCGTAGTATAATGGGACCACGTGAAGTCACTTTGGAGCATACCTTTGAGGAAAGCACGGAACACAGGCAAGCTCACCCTTGTGGACAGCTGAGTAAACTAGAGCTCAGAGCAGGGGTGTGAACTGTCTCTGCTTTGTGAACCTAATGGTGGGACTCTTGTGGCTCCAGGTCCATGTGGCTCTCAGGATTCTGTGTCACCTGCCCTTTCTTGTGTTGCATGGCTGTCCATCTGAAGGCTTGCATACAAGCTGAGTTCCAGGAAGCCAGGGGACCATTTTGCTGGAGGGATTTTGCCCTGCGCTGGTGCTCTTCCCTTCCATCTCTACTTTGCCCCTGGGCAGCTCCTTGGGTCTGGATAAAGTAGGGTGGTCACTTGGTCCCAGTCTCCGTGGAGGAGGTGTGAAAAGAATGAAATCCACAAGGCTTTGGGCTCCATGTGCAAACACGGGTCAGATTTTGAGGCTACCTAGAGCCTCCTGTCCTCTCAGCGGTTTTTTTGGGTGCTTATACATGGCAGAAAAATCTGTTCAATTACGAATGCTCTTATTTAAGGAGTACAGTGTTCATTGTGACAAGCTGGGGGTTAGAGAGTCACCATCCTGACCAGCTTGAATTCTTTATTTTAGGGAACATTAAGCAAAACCCCAATACACAGAGCCTTTCACAGACAGGTAAGAGGACTGCCTTCAGAGGCCCAGAGCTGCTCTGAGCCGGTTCTGAGCTCACCTCTGGGACCTCGGTCTTCCCATCTTCCAAGGAAGGATTCCAAGGCCCTTTGTTTTACCCCTAAGGGACAGAGCTGAAGACCATCAATGATTTCCTCTTTGAGAGCCAGATCGACAACATCAACCTGTTCAAGGTAGAGATTTTCATCCTTTTGTGTCCAGTTTGCTTATACTTATTACCATCTGTGAGCAGAACGCTGTGTGAAGACAAAGGAATAAAAAGTAAATTCCGCATGTCCTCAAGCAGTCTAGAAGTCTGAGGATCTACAGCATAGGTGTTCGTAATCACTTACCCCTGAAAGCATTGCATCAGCAAGAAAAAAGTAATCTCTAATCCAGGGTTGAAGGTCCTAGGGACTAGGGAGAAAAGGTGCTTTTCATTGTCCCAAATAAGCACAAACAGAAATTCCCAGGTCCTTTGCCTTGTTCCATCTTTCTCCGGCACAGTCTCTGCCCTGGGCCTTTAGTCTGAGCAGGAGGTTAACTTCGGGAGCATGATCCTGCTGTTGGGCTGAGATGGCTGCGAACTGCGCCCCCTCCGCCCCCTCAGGCCTTGGACTTGCATGCAGCCTCTGGTGGTAGCTCGCTCTGGGCCTGCTGTGCAGGATTCCACCACCATCGCTCGACTCACGACTCAGAGATTCTAAGTTACTGACAATACAGAGCACTTACTGCGTTCACGGCAGCGCACCAGGTTTTGTGACTCCAGGGTAGGATGTACCATCACTGCTCAGAAGCAGAGGGACCCGAGGCTGGGAGAGGTCACCCCAGGAGGGACAGGCCTAGGTCACACACAAGTGAGCAGATGGTACCTGGCGTGTTAGCCCCCGTGCCTGGACTCCAGACCCTTTGCTTTCCCTCCAGCCTTCCCATTTGTCTTCACACACCCCCAACTTACCCGTTTTGGTCCCCGTCACTGCCATGACCCCATCAGACAGGCTGGCAATCTAGCCCTTTTTGACTCCTTTCTTCTCCTTTTGGGTCCTGCATCTAAATGGTCACCAGCTCCCAGAGCCAGAAATCGCTCTTGAACTTCTGAAGCCTTTCCATTCCCATGGCTGCCACATCAGGAGAGGCTCTTTTCCTCTTGCCGTCTCCCTCTCTCCCTGCTTGCACTCCCTCTCTCTTCTGCTCTCTTTCCCACACTATGGTCTAGTGGAGCTCCGCTGAAAGATAGCACCCTTTTTAGAAATCTTCAAAGGTTTCAACTCGCTGTCTTCCATTCCAGGCTACCCATAGTGTACGCACCAGACACGCCTGAACAAACTCAAGCTTTACCTCCTTCGTGCCTTTGTTCCTGTAGGTTTTTTAAAACTTAATCTTTCAAGGTTCAGCTTAGGTGCTGTCCCATTGAAGGAGATCAGGGGACCTTTCTAGAGGGTTGGAGCCGTGCACACACGTGTGAGGGGACTGCCTGCACGAGGCTTCCACCATGCTGTGTGGGGGCGGCAGGAGAGGCGTGACCTCAGAGGAGGGTGACCCGCTAGGCCAACAAGGAGGCTGTGGGCTCCTGGGGCGGGGGGAGGGCAAGCAGGGAGTCCTGCTTCCCTGGGGTTTGGGAAGCTGGTGGTTTCTTTTTTCCGGCGAATGGTGGCCAGATACCTGCAGTAGGCTTGCTTTCACAGGTGCGGCGCTACTGTGAGAGGAGCATGATCAGCAGAAAGGTGGGCCCTCCCCTTCCCGGCAGTGCCCCAGTGCTGCCCCCTGCCGTTCAGAGTCCCCTCTGCTCCCTTCCTGTAGCACGGCTCGCTGGGTGGGGGTGATAGAGGCCTCGTGGCAGGTGGGGGTACGGGGCAAGTTGCGGGCTGTCTGGTGTGCGGCAGAACCCCCCCCTCCAGCCAGGGCTCCCACTGCTGCATCCTCATTCCTCCCTGTGTTCTCTTACTCCATCCCAGCTCTTCGGCTTCACAGAAAGGTACGGCACAGTCCTCACATCCTCCAGGGAGCAGCCCAGACTGGCTGGGTTCCAGCACTTCCTGCAGACCCTGCAGCCCACAGTGGCCCAGAGTGAGTGAGGAGGCGGGAGACCGGGCTGCATGCGGGGGACAGGAATGTCCATTCCTCATGCCTGGACTCCACTCTTGCGGAGAATGGCTTTAGGCTTGCCGCAGGGGGCCCTCCCACTGCCTCTGTGGTTACAGACCCTCTTCCTTCTGCTCTGTACAGCTGCTGTGGGCCCTGTGGAGGAGGGCGAGGCCAGGCTGCCACGGCCAGCTTCCCCGCTGATGCACATCGAATCCTTCCTAGCAGCCCTCACCACTGCCAACCAGGATGGCAGGGTCATCCTGAGCCGCCAAGGTAATCCCAAGAAGGAGCCGGCAATGGCCGCCAAGCCAGAGCATGGAGAGACTCGTGGCGCCTCCTGGGCGAGGATCAGGAAGCAGGGTGCTGGTGACTGGTCTGCTGGCCTGTGGTGAGGGGGGTGTGAGGCACTAGGACAGTGGGGCACCTTGGGCCAGGCTGTGAGGGACGCCATGTGGCCTGGTCGTTGTGGTTAGGTGGGTTGAGTCTTGATTCCGTCACCTCCAAGCTTTGTTTCATTTCTCTCTGAAGATCAATGTACAAGGGTAGGGTAGGTGATCGAGCTCTCTACCACAGGGTTGTCCTGGAGATTAAATGGGACCTCATCAAAGAGGAAAGTGGTATCCCTGTGGTTCCTGCGTAGACATGACCGTAGACATGACCGAGCTCCCTTCTGCCTCAGACTCACGAAAGTCTTTGTTGGGCTTGCAGCCCGCCCCCCTGCCCCACAGAGCTGTCTGTCTTTTTTTCAGGAAGTCTTTGTCAGAGTAGCCTCAAATTCTTGCTCCTGAATCCAGCCGTACACTTTGCCGAGGTGGTGAAGGAATGCCGGGCCGTGGTCATCGCGGGGGGCACTATGCAGCCGGTAAGGGACCCAGAGCCCGCCTCTTGTGCCCCAGGTGCTGGGATGGGACAGCTGCACTGTCAGAACTCTTCCTGTTCAGTGGGCCCCCAAACCAGAAGGGGGTCAGCTTGAGCAGGCTGAGCAGCGCCCACCAGGTGGCATTGCTGTACTGTCTCAGGCCTGGGCCTTTAGCCCGGGGCCAGGGGTAGGCGAGGGTGTAAGGGCACTGCTGCCCATTTGGTGCTTCTGGAGCCACAGGACCACATTTCTCCCAGAGACAGCTGTTCTGGAATCGCAGGCCCCCATCCAGATGGTGCCTTAATGCCGTGCCTTTCTTAGACCCACCAGGGATACCACCTTCCATCTCTTAAAAATTCACAGACACACACACACAGAGGAAAGTATTATGCTTTCATTGTAGAAAGCAGAGACCAGCAAAAGCAGGGGAAAAAAAAAAGATTATAATTCTACCACCAAAAGATTTGTTTTAGTGTGTATCATTATAGTAGTCTTTGTGTGTAATTTTTACAAATACACATACAACATACATGTTTTAAAAACAAAAATCTCCATCTCTACATGCTGTTGCTACGATTTGGGTTTTTCAGCCGGCAACAGAATGTCATAAACATTGTTCCTTGTCAGTAGTGTGCATTTATCCCACCGCGCTCTGGCTCTACTCTGTTATGTGAGTATGTTATATTTTGTAGAACCACTCTTCTTTTGTTAGGTATTCGGGTGATTTCCAGTTTTTCTCTGTTTTAAGCAACATGGAGGCGCATAGAACCACATCTCTGCACAGCGCTTCTGTCCCCAAGGTATGCGTGGCACGGGACTGAGCCAGTGGAAGGCTCCTGAGTGCCCGCACACTCTGGTCCCTCTCTTCTGCCGCTGGAACCACTCCTGCCACTCTGTTCGTTTTCCATTTTTCTTTCTTGTGTGTAGACTCAGATTTTTGTTGACAAATTAAAATCATCTCTAGTCCTTGCTGCTTTTGATGCTCAGGTGTTTCAGGCCCGGCCCCTCAGAGCCCCCACATGCTGCCCTTGGTCCTTGACGAGGCCCTTAGTGGCCTTGGGATGCTTTCTTGCTTTTTGGCACGACAGAATGCAGAATGTCCCAGGCCACCTTATACCTTCTTTGCGCCAGATCTGGAATCCTTCATTTCTCCAAGAAACCTGGCTTCCTTATTTGGGGATTGGTCTGTGGAAACCAGCATCCAGGTGCCGGGGGTGTCACACGGTCGTGCTCCTGGATTGTAATTCCTTTTAGACCTTCTGTAGACAGACTGGGGAAGATGGCTTTTAAAAATCATGCGTATTTCTAAATGAAAATCCATGAATTTGTTTGACCTTATACTGTGTATCTTTTTTCTTGAGCTGAACATTTGGTTTCTTATTACGTTTGTTCTATCTTATTACTTACTTGTACTCTCCCACAGGAGACCTCAAATACTTTCCTATACGACTGATATTCTAACAGTAAACTAGTGATTGAAATTTAATTTCTTTGCGTTTATTTTTGCTCTGAGAGTGTATCCTACTAAGGATGTATGCTCACTAAGGATCTGAAGTCACTGGAAGTCAGGCTCCTTGTGTGCTTCTGTTGTGACTGTGACAAACAGGTCCTCTTTATTGCCGTCTGTTTTCAGTTTTAGCGTTTGCTTTTTAATTCTTTTATTTTTGACTTAATATGTTTTTAAAATATGTAAACACCTCTATGGTTCAGAAGTGGAAACTGCCTGGAAGGTGCCTTCAGAAAGTCCCACTTCCGCCCATCTCCAGGCTGCTCTCTGTGCCCAGAGGCAGTCACTTTTGCGACTGTCTGTCCTCGCCTGCTTTCATTGCATTTCTCTGCAGAACTAAGCAAATATATGTACTCATTTCTCTCCTCTCCCTGTTCTTATGTCAATAGCTGTGGCGCCAGTGTTGTGGTGCTCACGCTGTTTGGTGGCCATTGCAGGTGTGTGTCCTGCCTGCCGGCGGGCGCTCCACACTGCAAGGGTGTGGTGAGCGCATGCGCTGGGCCCTCCCGAAGGGGAAGGGTGGAAGGGTGGAAGGGCGGTTGTGCGCTCAGAGATCACGTGCAGCAGTATCCCTGCGCAGGTGTTGGCTTGCGGAGCTGTACCTTCAGGGGGCACCCCTAGGTGGGGGGCACTGCCAGGCTAAAAAGTAAAAATACATCCAGCTTACGAAATACTGTCCAGTTCCCCTCCAGCTGGAGTTGTTCTGTCTCCCAGCAGCCTGTTTCTCCATGGAGGGGTCACGCCTTAGGATTCTTGCCAGTTCAGTAGGTGAAAATCCTGGAGTGCTTTAAAATTACAAACACATATGTCTGCCCCACCCCTCCATCCCCCCAGAGGTCCTTTTCCGGTAGTTGAGGCTGGGACCTGGACGTGTGGATTTTGTCTTGAATTCCCACTGGTGCTCTCAGTTGCCTAGTCCGGGGTGAGAAGCACGTGCCCAGTTCACCAGATTTCCCATGCTGTTCCCACAGACTCACTGAGACTATCCAACACTGGGTTATCGTTATTTATTTATTTATTTTTGCCAATTTATTATCTGCCTTACCTTTTACCTCTTTCCCTATTCTTATGTACATATTGTGCCAGGTCAGACTTTCGTCTTCCCCAAAGTGCGGCTCTCTCCCTCCCTCCCTGCCAGGGCCCCCTGCCTGCTCAGGCCTGCGGTCCCTGGCCCTCTCGGGGATCACAGAGCCCTGCTGTTGTGGTCTGCAGGTGTCTGACTTCCGGGAGCAGCTGCTGGCCTGTGCTGGGGTGGAAGCTGAGCGAGTGGTGGAGTTTTCCTGTGGTGAGAATCCCTGTCCAGGGTGGAATGGGCTACGTGTCACTCTCCGGCCCCTTGTCATCACAGTTTGACCCTGTGCTCTCATCAAGCCCCAGGGGCTGAGGAGCCTGTGAGATGGGAGCTCAGTCCTTTGCCAGCTCTCGCGTGGGCTCACGTCTCTCTGCTCTCGCACGGTGGCCTCCACCCCCGTGGGGAGGTCTGAGTACCACCTACTTGTGCTGTGGGGGCAGGCACGTGGGTGGGTGTGGGCACTGCTCTTCCTGGCGTGGAGACAGGGATGGGGAGCGTGCTTTCCAGACCCTGCCTTACAGACTCGTCAGCCCCTCGTTTTCAGCCCCTCCCTGGGGTCTCTGCAGGTCATGTGATCCCTCCAGACAATATCTTGCCCCTGGTCATCTGCAGTGGCCCCTCCAGCCAGCAGCTGGAGTTCACATACCAGAAGAGAGAGCTGCCACAGATGGTTAGTACCATTCCGCTCACCTTACCACTGCCTTCGCCAGGGCAGGAGAGAGGTTTCTTGGGTGCTGGGCACCCTGGCCTGTGCTTTTAGCGGTCAGGTGTTAGGGAGATTAGTGCTGGGGTCTTCCACACGGAGGCAGCCCAGGCTGGATAGTGTCCCATCTGCATGCTCCTTGGGAGGCCTGAGCTCCCCCCTTCCCTCACTGCTTCGACCATTAAATAATGTTTTCTTAGAACCTTGGGCCATTCCTTTAGGATGAACCTGAGGAGAATCTGCTTGTTTCCTTTGGTTCTCTTGCCATTTGGTTTTATCGCTCCCTGCCCCAGGCAGGAACATGGGGCTTGGGGCCTGTCGCGAGAGGCACACGTGGGGTTTTCAGTGTCCGATTTGTTGTAGTGGAACTTGTCCACAGTGGCCCGTAGGCATTGGGAGTTGAGCAGGAAGGCCTCGGCTCATGCCAGCCGGTTTTAGCTCCAGTGCGCTAGCATTGTGATGTGTGTGGGAGGGGGGCGGGGGAGGGGATGCTTCCGGCCACAGGTCCTCCCCATGACTGCAGTCACACTTGGATATCTCTATGTGGTTTTGAGTCTCAAAGTCAGGAAGTGCTGTTTGGATACGGCCTCAGGAATGACTCCAGGGAGGGCTGTCTGTCTTCCTTCCTTAGATGGATGAGACTGGTCGCATTCTCTGTAACCTGTGCACTGTGGTCCCTGGAGGGGTGGTCTGTTTCTTCCCCTCCTATGAGTACCAACGCCAGGTCTATGCCCACTGGGATCAGAGTGGGCTGCTGGCCCGCCTGGCGGTCAGGAAAAAGGTGAGTGACCTCTCAGCTAGAACTCCCACTTATTAGGACAGTGGCACCTAGAGTTCCTGCTAGGATTTCTCATGCATGTCAGAGAACTATCTGGACTTCTGCTAGCTCCTTACTCCCCCCACTTGGAACCCCTGATCGCCTCTGGAGGATTTCCCTAGAACCCTTTGACTCTGGGGGCCTCTCCTGTTCCCAGTCTGGAAAACATAAAGGCCACGAGCAGACCTGGGGCCCATGCATTCTGAAACCCTTTCCTGGGAGACTGTTTTCCTTCAGATATTTCAGGAACCCAAGAAAGCAAACCAGGTGGAACAGGTGCTGGCGGAGTATTCCAGGTGCATTAAGGTGAGAAGTGTAACTCCGAGGCCTTGGGTCCAGAGAACAGCTGGCAGCATTTTGGGTGGCCTCAAGCTTTGGCTCTACAACCTGGACTGGTATTTCCCGCAGTGTTGTGGCCAGGCGGGAGGCACGGTGACAGGTGCTCTGCTCCTCTCTGTGGTTGGAGGAAAGATGAGTGAAGGTATTAACTTCTCTGACAACCTTGGCCGGTAAGTTGTGGGCCTCTCATCTCTGGGCTCTGCTGTGATCACCCTTCACTCCACGAATGGCCGGGTCCCTGCCTGCAAGCTGATGCCAGCGGGAGTCTGCACCCCGGGCTGGCTGCTTAGGTCACTCAGCTCTGTGGGGAGGTAGCTTTGGCCCTTTAGCTCCAGGTGGAAATTAGGCAGAGCAGTTTTGTGGGGACTCCATTCATGTGGCCTACACTGGGTCTCTCGGCCAAGCACACCTGCTCCCGGTGTGGAGGGAGGTACAGGCAGCAAGCACAACTTGAGGGGTGTGACAGAGCGCTGGATGTAGCAGTTGATGACAGGAGGGTGAGGCCTGGCCCTTGGCAAACACACTGGGGGCCTGACTGCCCCCGCGCCACGGCCTCGTGTTCCTCGGCCCTAGGTGTGTGGTTATGGTAGGCATGCCCTACCCAAACATCAGGTCACCAGAGCTGCAGGAGAAGATGGCCTACCTGGACCAGACCCTAGTGAGTACCTCCAGTGTCCCGAAGCTGGGAGGAGATGGCTGGGAGGAGGTGCTGTTGCCTCTGGGGCTGCGATACCGGGGCTGCAGTGCTGTGCCTTCCCCACTGCCCCCCGATGTGTGCCCGTGTCTCCCATCCGCTCCAGGGCATGGACGCACCCCTTTACCCTCCGGAGCCACTCTGCCATCTCCTCTGTCGCAGCTACTGCTGGCCTTGTGCCCGTGATGCCTGCTGCTCTTTCTCCCACGCCGAGCGGTCATTTTCTCAGAACACTGAGGGGGGTGGGCAAGAACATGCTGACAGGTGCTGTCTTCTGCCCTCCCCAGCCCAGAGGCCCAGGTCAGCCACCACCAGGGAAGGCTTTGGTGGAGAATCTGTGTATGAAGGCTGTCAACCAGTCTATAGGTAAGCCTGGGACTGTTCCTGGCTCTTGGGATACATGGCAGGAGAATGGGGTGACAAGAAGGAGGGAGCACGATAGAAATACACTGTGGGGGAGGCTGGTTTAGCTGAGAGCCCAACCTCTGTCCCCACCTAGGCAGGGCCATCAGGCACCAGAAGGATTTTGCCAGCATAGTGCTTCTGGATCAGCGGTATGCCCGCCCACCTATCCTGAGAAAGCTGCCAGCCTGGATCCGAGAGCGTGTAGAGGTCAAAGCCACCTTTGGTCCTGCCTTTGCTGCTATGAGGAAGGTCAGTCCTGCCTTTCCCTCTCTCTGAGAGCCCCCCATCCCTGAGATCTCGTGCCTCACTGTTTTTCCGTCTCCCCAGTTTCATCGTGAGAAGTCTGTCCCTTCCTGATGGATGGCCCACCACTGCCCAGATGCCAGCCTCTTCCTTCCAGCTGCTCACGTGAAATGTTTGCCTCGTGCCTGCTTTGTGGGGATTCAGCCTAAAAAGGTGAAGCCCAGCTGGAGACCAGACCAGCCCCTTTCTGGAATCTGGGCTGCCAGGACTAGGCACAGGTAGAAAAGACAGTAAGAGAACATCAGGTCGATGCTGAAGAAACAGTGGGTCCTGGCCATCCTGGGACCCATCCCAGGGCAGTCTGGCTCCCTGGAATTGAATGCCCATTCACCACCGTCCAGAGTCTAGCTCCCTGCCCTGCTTTGTGGCCAGTCTTCCACTGCAGCATCTCTGTCCTCCCTTTGGTGTCCATTCTCTCACAGGTGAGGCAGAACATGCCCTCTAGCCTTTCCCTTTTCTGGCTACAATTTGTTGTTCTAGACCTTCACCTTCTTTTCAAAACCAAGAACATTCCCTCTATCCAGCCCCAGGTCCCTGGTGTCCATAGGGCTCCTTCTGCCCAGGGCCCTCTGACTACCTCAGTCCTACCACCTTTCTCGGTGTTAAGAACTGGGAAGAGCCATGTGCTGACTCCCCCACCTGCTGGTCTCTGTCTTCCCCAACCAGTGCTGGCCCCTAACCTGTCCCACAGCATTTCTAGCTCCCTTGGCCTGGCTCCACGTCCTCCTCCCACGTCCATGGCACCTCCTTCCCACTCAGCCACTTGAGCAAACTCTAAGACACCTCCTCCCCTGACTTCAGTCATTACGCCAAGGGCCATTAGGCTCCCAGCAGGACTATTTTTAGAGACCCCGTTTCTGTTACAGAGACATTTTTCCCTGTGTGAAAATCTCCTTCCCTCCATCCGCAACAGCCAGCCCTGTTGACAGCACCTCTCTGCTGTCCCTGACCCAGAGGAAGGGCCCTTGGCTCACCCAGTGCTTTGCCCCCACCTGCCGCCTGAGCCCAGCGGGGAGCAGGAGGACAGGTGTCGGCTTGGAGGAGACACTCGCCCCCTGCACAGCCAGGGTTCCTTAAGTAAAAGTACGCTCTTATTTTATGCTCGGTTCCCGCATGACACTGCTTTATTGATGCACGTACTCATTTCAGTCTGTGGCTGGAGGAGAGCACAGGGGCTCCCTGCTCCCAGCCACTTGGCCTCAGAAGCTGGCTACCTCACTCCTTGAAGAAGGTCCAGGAGCAGGTCTGGGACAGTCCTTCATGGTCCCCGTTCCTCCCTGGGTAGCAGGGGCCAAGAGACCCACAGGCCAGGCATCTCATCCTGGTCGTGTCCCTGTGAGGGTGAGACCTAAATCTGGGTCTCGGTGGGGAAGGAGTGAGCCCCTAGGATTCCCAGTCGTCCTCATCCTCTTCTCCAGGTGGCTGCTGTGGGGGAGGCAGAGGTGGGATGGAGTCTGACATTCGGGCAAAGGCTCCTCCTGGCCCCTCGCTGGCCCCCGTCGCGGGTCCTTTCCCAGAGATACCTGGGAGGGCAGAGGTGGAGGGTGAGGGGGTTAGTTTGGGACACCGGTTCACCCAGCCACTGGAGACTTAAAAAAAACAGGAAGAAAAAAGCAGCAGAATGTGCAGGATACAGAACATCCTGAGATTCGCAGCCAAGGGAAGGCAGCCAGGCTCCGTGTCCTACCTTTACGCCGCATGACCAGCTTGTTAAAGAGATCCGACATCAGGTCACCACCTTGGCTTGTGGCTCTCACTGTAGCAGGAAGAAGTCCCAGGTCAAGAAGGATGAGGGGACCAAGGACAAAATCTGCCCCTGGGGTGACCTTCTCAGGGTTGGCCCTCTTTTCTGCTCACTCTCCACACCTGTCAGCCCCGCCCCCCCAGCCATGGCATCACTGCCAGGTCCCAGAGCTGCAGGCTGTCACTGGAGCCAGCACCGGGGCACTATTAAACTGGCAGAGCTGCCCTGTGAGACAAAGTGGGCAAGGAGGAGGGGCCCCACTGTACGGACAAGGAAACTGGCCCAGAGAGGTTGTTGGGGCAGTTTGCCTGAAGTCACAGCGCAAATCTCAGAAATCTAGCCAGAACTCAAGCTCGGGACTCAAAGGCACTTGCGGCTTTGGCCCCGGGTGTTCTTTTCTTTTAAAATTTTATTTATGTGATAGCCAGAGAGCACAAGCAGAGGGAATGGCAGAGGGAGAGGGAAAAGCAAGCTCTGCACTAGGCAGAGAGCCTGATGCGGGGCTTGATTCCAGCATCCTGGATCATGACCTGAGCCGAAGGCAGACGCTTAACCATCTGAGCCCCCCAGGCGCCCCAGGGCGTGAATGTTCTGTTCTTGCTGCACTCAGGATGCAGCGCACGGAACCTGCAGCCTCGAGAGGCTTGGAGAAGCAGGACTGTGCTAACCCTCCAGGTCCGCAGTCCCTACAGCAGCTCAGGTCCCCAGCCATGCCCTAAGACAGCTCCTGGCAGAATCTGAGCTGGGGGAGGCTTTGTCTCCTATGAGTTTAGAGAGGAAGGTTCTAAGCAGGCTACAAAAAGGAAGGAACCCACAGCTTAGGCAGGAAGGGTGGGAATGTTAGGGACAGCTGCCCAGGGCTGCCCACAGACTGCCTGGGGAAAGCATGGGGGCGGGTGGGCTGGGTGCTGCCCCTCTGACCTCTTGGAAGTCTGGTGGCAGCTACGAGAGAAGGTGGCCCTTTCCTGAGAGTCCCCCTACCGGAGCGGGCTGAGGATCCTCTCACCTTGCTCCTGCTCCTTCTGTTTCTTCTTCTCCAGCTTGCGCTCCTTGACACTGCGGAGCTTGGCCTTGCCGATGCCCCCAGCCTGGCGGATGGACTCCAGCAGAGTGGCCCGGCCACTGGAGGGGTCCACCACTTCCTTGGGAGCTCCCTGGACTGCAGCTTGAGGGCGGGGGTGGCAGGGTGTGAGGAAGAGGGCTGCTCAGGCAGGCCATGCTGCAGGACAGCCTTGCCCAGCCTGAGGTTCTGGGGGTCCAGGGGCTTCCCCTCGAGCCTGGCTGTGGGTCTTTCCTTTTGAAAGAGGAAGCCAGTGAGGGAGTCTGAGCTCTGGGAGACCGTCTGCAGCCTACATGGCTGTTTGCATCTGCCTGAGCTCAGCCAGTCCTATGTCCAGGCACCCCTGGTCCCTCTCCTAATGCCACCTAGTTTAGGGGCCACTGCAGAGGTGGACTGTGGGAATCTACTGATGGAGACAGTGTCTGAACTTGACACATGAGCCAACCTGGGGTTTCTGTGCCACCTTTGGGTGCTGGAGATACGCGGGGAGATGTCCTGCTAAAACTGAAATCCTGCCATTTACGGATATGAGTACTTTGTTGCTGAAGCCTTCTACTGTTTCCAGTAGCTGCCCCTTTCCCACTGGTGTAATTGGAAATGGGGGACAATGGCTCTACCTGTCCACGTCCAGGCTCCCTCTACTCTGGAGAGAAGAATTCTGGGGGGGCTACACAGTTTGAAAGCCACTATTTCATGAACCCAGGGGAACAAGATTTTGAAAACAACTATTCTGAAGGTCTAGAATTTATGGTGCGATAAACCTACAGGAAACCCTCCCGGGATCCAGAAATTAGAGGCGTCCTCAAAGAGCACACGCCCCTCACCCTGACCCTCCACATACCCTAGTGCTGCTCTTACCTAGAGGAGACACACCGCCACTGCTGTCCTCCTCCCTGGCACCTTGGACCTGGGAGGCCATGGGCTGGGGTGGGGGTGGGGGAGCGTTGACCAGCACAGCCGGAGCTGGGGGAGGCGGCGGTGGCGGTGGCGGTGGTGGGGGTGCTGTTAGCACCCCATCTTCTGGGTCTGAAAGAGAAGTGTGGGAAAGTGTGAGGTGCCCAGGAATGCAAGTGGCCAAGTAAGGGGGTTCTTGCCCAACTGCTGCTCTCCGCTCACCTGGCTTGAAAGTCTCGGCCACCTCTGTGTGGAAGGTGGGCAGCTCTGGAATGGTGCCAGGGGCGGAGGGAGCGATGCCGGGGCCCAGGTCAGCGCTGTACATGAGGTCATCGGCGATGCCTGGCAGGTCAGGCAGGTAGGACGGCACGTCGATCTCAGGCACTTGGCCCAGGTCCGGCACATAGAAGTAGTTCTCTGGAACCTGCAGGATTAGGTGGGGGCACGAGCGGGGGCTGAAGGGGGCTTGGGCCCTGCAGTTAGACCCTGGGGCAGTCAGCAGGGCCTCGTGCATACCCATGGACAGCAAGGTGGGAGCAGGGGCTCAACAGACCACTTACCTAGAGGCCGCTGCCAGGCTTTCTTGCCCCCCCGCCCTTCCCCGGCGGGCAGCATGGGCTTTACCTGCTGCTCCAGCTGCTCCCTCTTGCTGATGGACAAAGGGGCATCGAACAGCTTCTCCTCGGTCTCTGCCCCCAACATCACATGGGTCTTTGTTACAGCACCAGCCAGGGGGTCCAGAAAGACATACTTTTTGTACCTACAGAGGTGGGATACCGGGCAGCCCATCATCAGCTTGAGGCCCAGGGTCCTGACCCAGCTTTCCTACTTCATCCAGGCCACAGTTAGTCTATACTGTGGACGTTGACACCTCAAAAGGGCAATCAGACTGCTGGGCTACGGGCTCCCCAGCCTGCAGACTTCCGCACCAGTCTGGTGTCCCCCCATCCGCCCTGGGGCCCCCACAAAGCCAGGCCAGGCCCCCCAGCCACCCTCCCAGGGCCCTGCTGTGTGCCGTACAGGTTCTCTGTGGTGTTGAACAGCAGCAAGGAGCTGACGGAGCTGATGTTGCTGGGAAGGCCCCCGAGCCCCTCCTCGGCCTCATCCTCAGGCTCAGGCTTGGTGTTCACACACACAGGGAAGTATTTCAGCTTCTCCTGGCAGGGGCAGTAGTGCAAGGATGGTGGGCTTCAGGACTGGGCCAAAGTGACCACCCATCCCAGTCCAAGTCCTCTTGGGGAATAGAGCCCTCAGTTCCTCCCCGACACGCAGCACCACCTCTGATCACCCCCTGTAAGCGTGTGAGCCCCTCAGACCTGCAGGGCCCACTCGTCCAGGGGGCGGTGCTTGCTCTGGATCCTGTGGCGGGGGCGTCTCTGCAGGCCAGGGTCCTGGGCACCTGTGAAGATGGACCCGTACTCCTGCAGGCGCTCTGGAGCTGGGTACTTGGCACTGGAGAACACCTGGGGACACAGGGAGTCGGAGATGCTCCAGAGAGTCTAGAGTGGTGGGGGGGCGCGGTTTAAGCAGGAAAGGTTGAGGTGTGGCTGGGCAAGGCGGGCAGAGACCTAGTCAACTTCAGGAGCATAGGGAGAGAACAGGGATGGGATTTCTGGGACTGCCTGCCAGCCACGGGGACTCGGGGTCACACGGTCTACCTTGATTGCCTTCTTGCTGCCCTTGATCTTCTCAATCTTGGCCTGGGCCAAGGAGACCCTCTCCCCAATGGCCTGCAGCTGCCTCCGGCTGAGCTCTACTCGCCGAGAGATTCTGCCATGGGGGGAGAAAACAAAACTCAGCGGCTGAGGGCTGCTCCCCAAGCCCCTGCAGTCTCCTGCACTCCTGCTTCCATCTGCAAACTGCAAAGCCAAGGGCTTCCACAGGGACCCTTAAAATACAGTGTTACCTGCTTGTCACAGCTGACCTTTAACTGTCCAGGTGACCTCCACATAGATCTCTACTCTGAAGCGTCTGAATGAACTCTACTGAGTTCTTGGAGCTCTGGGTACGAATGGGCAATCACCCTGGCCCCAGGGTGGTACCTGGACTTGCCATCTGTCAGGGACAGGGCCCCTGCCTCCAGGAATTTACAGCCTCAAGCAGGGCAAGCGGAGAGAAAATAGTCATGATTCCTGTACAAAACTGCCTATTTCCAGATGAGACTTGAGCTCCCAAGGAGGACGGAGGGTGGGCAAAGCTGGGTCTAAATCAAGTCCCAGACCCACTCACGTGGAACTGCCCCGACACACAGTAAATGGCTCCGGTGGACAAAGTCCTCACCATGGTTCCCGTGTGTGGCCAGAGGGCTCGCTCAGAGGCTTCCACCCACCCTTCCTGGCACATCGGGCTCCAGGGACTCCAGGGCCCTGAACAGGCCAAACATGTTCCCATTGGCCTCTGCACCAAATGGAGTGCCATCCCCGAGACAGCCCCGGGACTGGCTTCTTCACCGAGCACACTCCTCACCGAAGACCTGACCACCGCCTCTATAAATGTGCACCTGTCACTTTCCAACCCCCTTTCACAGGGGGCCGCTCGACATGCATCTATTGCCCATCCGCTCTCCAACGGGGAGACGGCTGGGCTTTGTTCCCTACTGTCTTCCCAGCACCGGCACCTGGAGAGCCCATGAGTGACGAACACCCATGTGCCCTCAATGTAAGTGCACAGGAGCCTCACTTACACTGTCCCCGTTACTGAGCCATGGCCAGGTTCTTCTCCCTGCGGAGTGGACTGGGTGAACAGGGACCAGGGTATCCTCCTCCCAACTGCTCCCCCACCTGCACAAACTCCGGTTCCTGCCCATGACCTCCACGCCTCACATTCAGAGAGGGTGCGTGTCGGCACCCACCTGGCCAGAGGGAGCATACAGGTGAGAAAGAGGCAGGACTGCCAGCGCCAGTTTACCGGGAAAGGGTGGAGGCCACAGCGATGGCAGGGGGGGCCCCCACAGTCTCTGGGGTCAGGGAACACCAGGATTTCTTTAAAGGTTTCTTTAAGGGTCAAGGCCCTGGACCCATCTTCCTAAATCAAACCCTACCAACTCTAGAAGATTCTGGCCCCCCAGAGAACCTGCCAGATCAGCCAATTTCACAGCCCAGGGGTCTCGGCTCCCTGCAGTCTCCCTGCTTACTCCCGGCCCCTTATGTGCAGGGGCTCCCTGAGGTGGGGGGCTGGGGTACGAGCAGGCACCCAAAGCAGCTTAGTCTTCTCTGACAGACTGGGCTGAGTGGGCAGTGAAGGAGTCAGAGAACTGAGGGCAGAGCTGCCTTCCAGTGAGAGGAGGAAGAACCACCAGACTTGCATGAGCTCCATCTCTTCTGACAGGAAGAAGGGTTTGTGTCCGCTGAGAAAGGGTACTTGTGCGCAAGTTACCTCCTCCAACTCCCAGCCCAGCCATCCTGCCCTGGGTGCCGAAGCCACCTCAGTGGTTATATGACAGCTCGGCCTGAAGTCCACATGGAGAGTGGGAGGGACAGCAGAACTGGAGAGGGACAAAGGACATTTTGTTCTCATTCTTCCACCAAGGAGAGAAGGGCTGATCTCTCTTAGTTGTGAACACAGAGCTTAACCATAAACCCTGGCAAACTTCCAGAATGGATTATTAAATCGAGGGTCTGTAAGCCCTCTGAAGAGAAAGAGGCAGCTCCCAGGGGCCAGCATTGTTCTAAATTCAGTCTTTCTTTTTTCTGACAGGGATATTAGACTGGTGTAGCAGGGGAAAACCTTAAACACAGTGCATCCTGAGTCAGCAAGGATTCTGACGGCTTCTCACAAAATCCTGTGGACGAGATGGAGCTAGGGGGGTTGGGGCACATTTAGAGAAACTCAGAGCCAGATGAACAGCACCCGAAGCGCACTGCTGAGCAATGGACTGATTTCAGCCTTGCACAAAGTTCTCTGGCAGGGCCTTGTCCAGCTCATGCAACACTGGGTTAGTAAACGGGGGAGCGAATGGAGGAGGGTCAACATGGTCTGCATGGGGAATCAAGACCCACAAATCTGGGGCACCTGGGTGGCTCAGTGGGTTAAGCCGCTGCCTTCGGCTCAGGTCATGATCTCAGGGTCCTGGGATCGAGCCCCACATCGGGCTCTCTGCTCAGCAGGGAGCCTGCTCCTCTCGCTCTCTCTCTCTCTCTCTCTCTGCCTGCCTCTCTACTCGTGATCTCTCTGTCAAATAAATAAATAAAATCTTAAAAAAAAAAAAAAAAAGACCCACAAATCTTAAGAGTCCGGAAGGATGGACTGTAATCAGCAAGACGAAACTGACAAGGGATGAGGTCCAGCATTTAGGTGTAAGAAGTCCAGTGCACAAACGCAGAAGATGGAGGGTCAGCAGCAAGGCCTGACGTTTTGGTTAACTAGAGCTCAGTATGAGCTAAAAGTGTGTAAAGCAGCTTAAGAAGGAAATGGGATCTTGGCGCACACAGCTCCTTGTCCCTTCTCCCTTCTTTCAGTAAACGGGACATCCACTCTCTTGGGGGCACTAGAGAAGAAACAGACCCCAGATTAGTGAGCTATCTGTGCCGGGCACCCACCTCTCTATAGCTGTGTTCCTTTTAAACCAGATCCACAGTTTAAGAGAACTCTGAATTCCTTCTAGACTAACTATAGGTCTTAGTCACTGCTATGTCCCTAGCACCTGGCACTGTGTCTGACATGTAACAAATACTGGGTGAAAGAAAAGTGACAAGTTCAAGAACGTCCAAAGGAGGGTGATGGTGAGGAGTGAGCTACTCATGTCCTGAGTGTTCTGGCAACAGGTGAGGTGACTTAGACAATACAGTAATTCTCTCCGTACGTCAAAACTGTCACAAGTGCTGGCAGGTGGAAAAGCGACTGCACTTACCCTGTTACCCCCAAAGGCAGCATGAGGACCAGCAGGTGGAGTTACAAGGAACCAGCTCTCAGTTCTGCACAAGGAGAACTTTCTAGTAAACTTTCCTTCTAGGAGAGCTCTGCAAATCAGATTCCCACGGATGAGCACCCATCAGAAATGCTCCGAGGGGGGCTGCTGTGGGGGGCAGGGGAAAGCAGACAGGATTTCCAGGGTCATCCAAGAGCCTACCAGTCTAAGTAACGGCCCACAGGCTGTCCAACCTCTCACTGTCAGAGCCGTGGTGCCAAGAGCGCAGAGCATGGGTGAAAGGGCTCTCACGATGGGCAGCGGCAGTGCTGAAGGTGGCAACAGGAAGCACCAGCAGGCCACATGCGGCTGGGACGGAAAGCCACGACTGATTAGCAGTGCCCTCCACGAGGGTTTGGGGGAGTAGTGGCAAGAGGGTGATCTGTTTGCCATTCCTAATCTATGCTCCCTCACTCGGTGGTCTGCTTCACGGCAGGTCAGTTTCCAAGCTTATCACTAAAGCCAAGTCCCCAAAACACGTTTGACCAGACCCCAGCGCGGTCTCTGTGGGTGTCAGGAATGGAACTGGCTCAGCCAGTCTGCTCAGAGCCCAGGACAGAGATGAACTGGGGAGCAGACATCTCCCAGGGACAGAAGCAGGTACGTTTACCATCTACTTCGCAGCAGTGGGACCTTGAGCAATTCAATGAACTGGCCTATGCCTCGGGCTTCTTCAGCTGTGACACGGGGCCGGTGACTTCTATAGCACGGAAGAATGAGCAGCGGTGTGCCATGTTCCCGAGCTAGCTGGTGAATCAGGTGCTAGTACCACCCACGAGGTTAGGAGGGATGAGGGGCTCCAGGTGTTCAGAGGAAAGCAAGAAGAGGCGGTGCTGAGCAGACATGGGGGAAGACAGTCCAGGCCCAGGAAATAGGCACTTCACAGGGAACACCATGAAGGCAGGGGAAGGGTGACAGGAAGCCACTCCTCCTCCCGGAGCACCACAGGGACCACCACTTGGGCTCCCGGTCCCCACCTCCCATGCTGACCCCCCACCCACTCACAGATGACTTCCGGCCACAGCCTCCCCGCCCCCTGCAATCAGCACACCCTCATGCCTTCCCACCTGCCCACAGAGGCTGCTGGGGAGGAGGGAGCACCAGCTTGTCCTCCTCTTGCGGGTCCTATCCCCTGAAAAGCTCCTGTGTCACCTCCTCCGTCCGGGCATGATTAGGAATGATCTGCTAATTATGCGGGCAGCTGACTGAGCTTCCTAACCTTGGGAGTCACCAGGTGCCGATCAGAACCAGGAGAGGACAGGAGGAGGGGAGGAAGGGGGGCAGAGGGGAGAAGATGGGAAGGGAGAAAAGGGAGGGAGGGAAACAAGGAAAAGAAGGGAGAAAGGAGGGGTTGGAAAGACAAAGGAGAGGAAAGGGAAAAGCTTTGCAGAGAAAAGGAATCCTTCCCCAGGGCTGACAGGAAAGGCAAGCGATAGCGCCCCAACTTCCACACACAGAAGCTGTCCAGCTCCTCTTCCCTCCAGCCCCCAACCCCCTCTGCCTCGTCATCTAAGTCATGCGAAGCAGGTGACAGGTGACGTCTCTGGGCGGCTATTTTGGGGCCTGGCTTTTCCCAGGTGAGGGACAGGCAGATCGCCCAGACAGGGGAAGGCGCGGGTCCAGGAGAGCCCGAGAGGCACTTGTCATTCTCTTCAGGCTCCGCGCGGCTCCCTCTGCGGCAGAGCAGGAGGAAGGCCAGCTTGGAATGCTAATTTCCCATGAGCTCACCTACCTGCGCAACTGGGCACAGGCGCCCCTGGGCTGAAGGGCCTGGGCCTGAAATAGGGGGGCGGTGAGGAGGAGAGACAGATACCCACATGCCTCTTTACATGAGGTTTTAAGCAGGTAGAGTAAGCTTGAGGGGGAAGATTCCAAGCCGGGGTCCCTTCCCCAGGACAAAAGCCCATGAAAAAGGAAAAGCCCACGGGGTGTGTGGATTGCTGCAGGCTGGAGGGTGGGAGGAGCAGGGGAATAAGGCTGGGTCTGGGCCTGCCCCACCCCCACTATCCCTGACCCCTCCATTTCCTTCATCCTGTTCCCAATCTGTCATCATGTCCGGTCATTACTTCCTCTGAAATGTCTCTTCTCCAGCCCTCCCTGAGCTCCCCTGGACTGCAGCCTCACCCCTTCCATGCCTTGACTGCAACCAACAGTTCTCAGTGCGTCCCTGGAAGCCCCTCCCTCCCCTCCTGGCCACTCTCAGTGCTGCCTGCTCAGCCGTCCCTAAGCCCTTCTGTGGCACTGCTTCTCTGCTCCAGAGCCTCCCTCCAAGGCCCAAATCAAGCACAAAGCCCTGTCCTGTTAGGGGAAGCCCCCACGGACCCTAACCGGCTCATTCTAACAGCTCACTGGCCCCATCGTCCATCCCCCTCCCTCAGCCCCGGCACATTCCTGCAGCACTGCAGAGCACAGAAAGCAGCGAGAGGCCCCGAGAGTCTGGCTCCCAAGGGTATGCAGTCAGAGGCGGGAAGCAAGGCCCTCGGACCCAGAGAAAGCGGACCCTTCACACCCTGTTCCACAGTGCAGGAGCTGAAGGCAAGTAGCAAAGTCTGCACCCCCAGTACAAAACGGCCCCTTCAGGCCAGCCTCCCCTGGGCAGCCTGGGATACACCATGCTCCCATTCAGGCCTCTGAGCCATTCGCACCCATTTCTAGACCCCAGCAGAGGCCCTGCACACCCATATTCCTACCCCTGCCTAACCACAACCTAGCCCTCCTATGGCCTTCAGGAGGCCTCCCCTGACCACATAGCAGGCATGCAAGTTTCCTCTCCAGCATCCACTTCTTCCTCACTCAAGTAAGGGCCCTCATTTCCTTTGGGGAACCCGCTGCTCCCACAGGCTCAGGCCCTGCACTTCAGGTGGGGCTAAAGCCGGGGAGTAATGCGGGTAACAGGGTCTAAGCCCATCAGTGTGTCACGGCCTCTGCCCCCGCAAGGGGCTCTGGGATAGACACGAGAACCCAGCCAGGCCAGTGTCCCTCTTTCCTATTGGACCTGAACGTGGAGTGCTGGAGCATCAGCCCTGCTGGAGGCCAAGGCCTTTCTGGGGATGGGGCCAACAGAGAAACAGCAAGCTGGGATGGAATGAAAGAAAAATCAGGTACTGACGACATCGGTTAAGCCCTGCGACTCCATATCCTGCTCCACGGACTGGGTACTAATTGCTTCAGCGGGTTTGGGGAGTTCTGATGTCTACTTATCGTCTCTTCTCTAGATCCCTAGAAGCCAACACGGTTCATACTACACAGTGAAGAATCAATCCATCTCAACGTGGTGTTTCCCCCATTCTAGACTACAAGGTCCTTGGGACAGGAACCAGGTTGCACACATCGTCGGGACCCCTTAGGGTCCAGCAGGTTTGGCTCAGGGTGGGGAACGTCAGTGGGGTGACCAGGCACCAGGCTCCTGAGAGGCACCCTAAGCTCCCCGGACCACGCCAAGGCACTCGGAGGGCCCACCACTCAACACCCTCTCCCAGGAGATAGACTTCCTCCCCTCTCCTCATTCCATCCCTGGGCACAGGGACATGAAACTGTCTACAGGTGCCAAATACCAGGAAGGGAAAGGCCAGTGTGCTAAAACTCCAGTGCCCCCCTTAGAGAAAGGCAAGCATACAATCACAATCCTGGTGAGAAAACACACATGTTTCTGATGGGTTGCTTTTTGCCTCTATTTTGGTCGCTGGGCAGGGGGTATCTATCATCTGGGACTGATGGCTCTTAAAGGCCCGTGTCCTCTTGCTAATGTGGTCCCTGGGCACAGTTAGCACAGACATAAGCACAGAAAGGGCACATAACACTTTCCGTAACTACTGATAGCAAGTTCACGGAGGAGGAGCACATGCTGACTGCCCAGCCCTCAATCAGGTGTGGGCGAGTGGCAGCACCCACCTGCTGAAGATGTCTCCAGAGACCTTCTGTAGGTACTGCAGGGCATCGGCTACCTGCTGGATGGCCTCCTCCCGCCGCAGGTCCGGCTGGATGAGGGGCACGGCGTAGGTCTGCCCTGCCAACGAGTGCTGGGTCCTCGTGGGAGTCATGGTGCCTGTGGGTGGGAACCAGAGTGTGAGGGACCAAGTGCCAGGAGGACGGAGCCCAGCCCCCAACCCAAGCACTCCCCCACCCCACCCACCCCTGCCTGCCACTGTTTGCTGCAGAACTGTTTGCTGTAGGTCCCACCTCTGGAGGTGGGGAATGGGGGACAGAGCAATGGGTGGGAGGCCAGGAGCTCCCTGGAGCTGGTACTGTTGATGCTTGTTGCATAAATGAGGGAGGGCAAGTGGTAATGACAACAGAGACCAGAGAGAAGCAGTCAGAAGTGCACTGCTCTGCTAGGCACCCTTTCCATCCATTATGTCATTTCTACCTCCCAAGCCTGGACGAAGAAGAAAGAAACCGTGGCTGCAGAGTGAAAAAGAGGTTGGAGCAGAGGGATGGACTGAGGGGTGGGGGGCGGAGAATGTGTGTGTCAACTGCCAAATGATACCCAGGTCTGGGAAAGCACAGGAAATGCAGACTCCTGGGTTCTTTTCACTCTGGCCCCGAGGAACTCAAGACCTGCTCCTGAGACAGGACAGGTAGTGGCTGGTGACTGGGCTCTGCTCCCCCAGGCTACAGCTAAGGGGAGGCCAGGAGGAAGGAGGGGCATGGGAGGGTGGGGGACAAGGAGGAAAAACACTCCTTCCAATTGCAGGATGAGGGCAGAGTCTATTTATACTGGGTTTAATTAACTCCGCTCCCTGGTGCCATTAAAGCAGCAATCATGCTGCACACGGCACTGATTTGATCGGCAAGAGATGTACCAGGCAGAATATTAAGGCTCCAGGCCCCTATAAATAGGCCTAATCACAGCCCCTCAGTAGAAGACGGTGAGGAAGACATTAATCAGAGCTGGCACTGTGCTACAGACCTTTTCTCTCTGGCCCCATGTTGGGGCCCCTGAGTGCAACACAGGTGGTGGTGGGGCAGAGTAAGTGTAACAGGGAGGGCTGAGGAGGCCTCACGGGGGCTTAAAGAATGGTTTGACTTCGGGTAAGTCGCTTGCCTTCTCTGAACCTGATTCTTCCCATCTCCCATTCTGCAGTCTTGAGCATGGCACCACTCTCCAAGTGGTTCTTCCCAACACAGCACACTATCTTCTCCAAGCTGAAGCTTACTCCTTTGCTCCCTCTGCTGGCTTCCCCAGCCCTTCCTTCTCCCTGGGCTTGTTCCCTCCTACCAGCCCTCCAGGTCTGCTCTTCAACTTCTTGGGCAGTGACGTCCTCAGTCAGACCTGAAGCTGCCTAGCATCCTCATCTGGGCCAGAGAGTCACTCCTCACTTCCCCACTTCTTTTCCCTCCTATCATATGACCCAAGTGGGGCCAGCTGATGCCTAAGCCAGGAACCTAACCCTCTGAGACCACTGCACTCCTTTCAAGAAGCCCCCCCCCCATTTATATTCATATTGATGCAAACTTGCTGGCCTTTCTAACTTAATTCTGTACCTCGGTTTTCCCATCTGTAAGCTCAGGAGAGGGTAAAGGGTGGAGATACTTCTGCGCACATTTTGAGATAGTTCCTTGTAAGTTACCCCAACTGTGTGTGTGTGTGCACAGGAGGGGGGTCGTACAGGGACAAATCTCAACAAGGAAGTAGCAGGTCCACTCAAGAATTAAGAGACTGAGGGGTGCCTGGGTGGCTCAGTCGGTTGAGCATCTGCTTTTGGCTCAGCTCATGACCCCAGGGTCGTGGGATCAAGCCCCACATCAGGGTCCCTGCTCAGCGGTGGGTCTGCTTATCCCTCTCCCTGCAACTGCCCATTTATGCACATGCTCTCTCTCAAATAAAACCTTGAAAAAAGAAAAAGAAAAAGAACAAAGAGACTGAGTACAGCTGGTTAGTTATTTATTCATTTGGTCTCATCTCTGGATCAGCTACTAGATGCCAGCCATGATGGCAACAAAGATGAGTAGGCCACTATGCTAGCCATAGAGACAGCCTCACAAACAAACACCACATGACAAGTGCTCTAATTCAGCCACAATACTAGTGGCTAGGGGAGAAGCCCTGAGGAAGGAGTGATCATCCATCCCCGCAGAGGTTGGAGGAGTCAGCAAAAGGCTCTCAGTAGAAATGGCATCTCCCTACCCGGCCCAGCCAGGCACTGGGGAGAGAGCATTCCAGGTAGGAAGACTTGAACAAAGGTGTGTAGGGAAGGGCAAGTGGTGCTGAGTGATAAGAGTATAACTATCCTTGGGCCATTAGCAGGAAAAAAATAAAAAGCTAGATTGTGATAAACACTGCATACCCCAGCAAGAAGTTTGCTCTGAAGCCCTTACGCCCAAGCTGTCCAATATGCTAATCTCTAGCTGCACGTGGCCTGCCGGAGGTGGAGGGTGGTGTAAGTGCAAAACGTACACCAAATCTCAAAGACTTAGTAGGAAAAAAAAAATGTAGAATATCCCATTAAAATTTTTATATTGATTACAGGCTGAAATGACCATATTTTAGATATACAGAGTTAAAGAACATCTATTACGAAATCGATTTCACCTTTTTTGTTTGTTTTTTTTTTTACTTATTTATTTGAGAGAGCGCGCGCGAGAGCAAGCGCAGGCAGGTAGAGGAGCAGAGGGAGAGGGAGAAGCAGGTTTCCCACTGAGCAGGGAGCTCCACGCGGGACTCGATCCCAGGGCTCTGGGATCATTACCTGAGGTGAGCGCAGACGTTTAACCGACTGAACCACCCAAGCTCCCCCACCTGTTTCTTCTTACTTGTAAAATTACAACGTGGGGCTCACGCCGTATTTCTATTTGATAACACTACCTTACAGAATATGGTAAAAACCATAACAGACACCATACCCGCCTCTCAGTGCTGTTTAATCACAGAAGTGCACGGACTCCTTCCCGCAAACCATCTCCCGACCCCCGCTCCCAGGGCCCTCAGCCACCCAGGTTAACAGCAAGGCCGGGCGCAGCCAGGAAGCAAGCTCGGGAAAGCAGCGAGACAGGTCAACTAAGAGGGGTCGGGGAGGGAAGGAAGCTGCTGAAGGGGGGTCCGAGGACTCGGTCGAGCCCGCTTGCAGGGCCCAGGGGCCATAGGGTGCAAAGGCCCGTGAGGGTCACGGGACCGGCGGGCCGCGACGGGGAGGGCGGGCTGGAGCCCGGGGCCCCGAGTCCCGCGGGCCGGCAGGGCCCTCCCCGCACCCCGGCCTCGGCCTCACGCCGCGGGGGAGATCGGCTCCAGGGGTGCTGGCGAGCGGGGAGGGGCCCGTCAGACTCGGGGCAGAGGCTCGGCGCCGCTTCCGGGCGGGCGGCGCGGCGGGATGGCAGCCGGGTCGCAGGCCTGTGCGGACAGCGGCCGCGGCCCGGCTCGGCGCTGGGCCTCCAGCGAGGAAAGAGTGGCGGATCCCAGGCCTCGCCGCCTGGGCAGGCCCGGCCCTGCCTCCCGGAGCCCCTCCCTCCCCGCCTCCCCGCCGCGTCCCGCCCCTGCACGGCCCAGCGCAGCCTCGGGGTCCCCCGCGCCCTCCCCCGGCCCGCCGCCCGCTCCTCACCTGCCCGCCGCCCGCCGCCCGCCGCTCCGGCCGCCGAGCTTCCGCCGCGCGCGCTCCGCCGGGTCCTGGCGCCGCCGCTCGGCCTCTTGGGGCGCTCCGCTCGCTGGCGGAGCTCTGCGCAGCCAGTGGCGGGCCCCCGCGCAGAACAGGCCGCCCGCGTCCCCGCCGCACCCTTCGCGCGTGCTGCGGGGCGCCAGGCCGCCGGGAGCCCTCACTCTTCCCGACGCCCCGTCACCTCCCCGCCTTCCGCTCAGACCCGGCCGCGCGCTGCCCGCCTCCTTCGTCCGTCGGCCTCTCAGCGCCGCCCCCGAGCCCGTCCCCGACCCCGACCCGGGAGCGGTCCCGGCCCCGCCCTCCCTCTGCCTGCGTGAGCCCGGCCGTCCCGGCTTGGCCTCTGGGGCGCACAGAAGGACAGAAGGTAGAGTGGTGGGTGTGCGGCGCCTGGGGTGGTGGTTTCATGCGTACAGACTTTCGGTTTCTCTCTGCGGTTTCTCCCACCGCCTTGGACTCAGGCTCCCCTGAATCCTCTGCCCAGCCAGGCTTCGGGCTGCATCGGCCCGCGGTAGCGACAACTCTGCCAAGTCGCTATAGCCGGAATCCCCAGGCCTCTACGTCAGATCACCCTCGGTATTCGATCGCGCGCCTCATCCCACACGATCCCCCGCGGCTGGCCCTTCGCCCCGGTTGCTCTCAGCAAGAATCCTGTTGGTCGGCCGAGCAAAGAATTACCTACCCTCTTAGGGATTTTCCATCCGTCCCCCTCGGGGGGACCTTGGCTAGAAATCCCCCCTCGGCCATGCTGTGTTTGCAAGGGATCCTGCTTCTGTACCGAGGTCTCTTCCCCCTCTGTTGCAAAGTCCTAAATAAAATCTCTTCTTACTTCTACTGTGCAGCTCTAGTTTTCTTTGACACGTCAGTTCAGAATGATGAGAAAGTTCTGGAGATTGGAAATGGTGATGGTTGTACAGCAATATGAATGTACTTAATCCCACTGAACTGTACGCTTGAAAACAGTTAAGACGGCCCATTTGTGTTATGAACGGGTTACAACAATAAAAAATAAAGCCAGATAATATTTTAACAGACTAAACAAAAATTTAGGTATATAAAGAAAGCATCCATCCAGAGATCCTGCAGTGGTCCCTCCTGAAATACATTTCTTTGTCTCAAAGTTCTCGGCCCCTGTCTTTCAGGTTTGCCAGATAAAAATACAGAACACCACATTAATTTGAATTTCAGATTAAAAAATGAATATATAGACACAGATACCCCAAACTAAGCATGAGACATATTTACCCTTAAAACTTATCATTTATTTGGCATTCAAAATTAAGTAGATGTTTGATATTTTGTATGCTAAATCTTGCAAACTTACTCTCTTCTTAAGACTCTCTGAATTTTGTCCTCTTTCCCAGCTGCTCACCCCCATCCTAGAGTTAGGTTAAATTGTCTTTTTTGGTAAGCACATTACAGTGTCTTGCTGGCTGCAGCATATGGTCTCTACCCATGATGAGGAAGAGATGGGTTTCCACCTGTATTGTAAATTGAATGTGTCCCCGCCCCCTCCAATTAATATGTGGAAGCACTAACCCCCAGTTTGATGGTATTTGAAGAGAGGTCTTTGGGAGGTAATTAAGGTTCAGAGAGGCTGGGAAGGTGGGGTCCTCATGATGAGATTAGGGCACTTACAAGAAGAGACACCAGAGGGGTACCTGGGTGGCTCAGTGGGTTATAGCATCTGCCTTTGGCTCAGGTCATGATCTCAGGTCATGATCTCAGGGTCCTGGGATTGAGCCCTGCATCAGGCTCTCTGCTCAGTGGGGAGCCTGCTTCCTCCTCTCTCTCTGCCTGCCTCTCTGCCTACTTGTGATCTCTGTCAAATGAATAAATAAAATCTTTTAAAAAGAGAGAGAGAGAGAGACCAGAGAGCTGGCTCTTTCTAGCTCTCTCCACCATGCAAGGACACAGCGAGATGGCCATTGCAAGCCAGGAAGAGAGTTCTCACCAGGAACCAAACCTGCTGGCACGGTGGTTTTGGATTTCCAGCCTCCAGAACAGTGAGAAATGAATGTATGCTGTTTAAGCCACTCAGCCTACGGTATTTTTTTTTAAGGATATTTATTTATTTATCTGACAGATATAGTGAGAGGGGGAGCAGCAGAGGGAGAGGGAGAAGCAGACTTTCCGCTGAGTGGGGAGCCTGATGCAGGGCTGGATCCCAGGACCCTGCGATCATGACCTGAGCCCAAGGCAGATGCTTAACAACTGAGCTACACAGGCACCCCGGTATTTTGTTTTTGACCAATATAACCTGCAAACCTGAGCAATGACTGAGCAGATTCTTAAAGGTATTTTAAGGTTTTCAAAACACATCAAAGAAGGGGAAGTGTGCCATTCAGAAAGGAGGGCATGCAGGCTTGGGGCTTTGCCACTTATTCTTTGTGCAACTTTGGGCCAGTCATCTAATGGGGGTTGCCCCATTTATAAATCAGGCTGGAGAGTGCTTGTGGCCTGCTTCCTTTTGAGAGCTGCAAAGAGACGCTATCAAAGTGCTTTGTGGATGATTTGTACACAAAAGGAAATTTGTATGTGCCCCAAGATGTTTGTTTACACACACATGCACGCACATGCTGCCGCCAAATACCCAAACTGGCTGTTTTCTCACAAAAGTGCTGCTAGACTGCCTCCCCACGACCCAGACCACCCAGTGCGCCCTCAGTTTACCCTCCACTTCATTGTTCTTTACCTAATCCACCAAGACGCTCACCCCACACCTAATTTTAAAGATTTCCTAGGAGCTGGATAGCAAAGACCTTTCACTTCAGTCACTCAAGCTGCAGTGGGAATCCTCGACCTCAGAGCAAAGAAAAGCTAAATGTCATCCTGCCATGGGAACACTGAGGCCCACCCTGCCCTTGCTGGCCTGTGGTGCGGATTCCACTGATTCATGATGCCCAGGATAGGGAAACCACAGGGACAGCAGGGGACTGAAGGCTGGCAGGAGCTGGGGGCAGGCGAGGAAGGGAAGTGCCTATGGGTACCAAGTTTTATTTTGGGGTGATGGAAAGGTTTGGGAGTTACACAGAAGCTGTGATTGCACAGCCTTGTGAAGGTACTAAGTCCACTGAATTTTTTGCTTTAAAATGGCCCATTTTATATGACTTTCGGCTTTTTATTTTATTTTTTTTTTTTAAATATTTTATTTATTTATTTGATGGAGAGAGATCACAAGTAGGCAGAGAGGCAGGCAGAGAGAGAGGGGGAAGCAGGCTCCCTGCTGAGCAGAGAGCCCGATGTGGGGCTCGATCCCAGGACCCTGGGATCATGACCTGAGCCGAAAGCAGAGGCTTTAACCCACTGAGCCACCCAGGCGCCCCGACTTTCGGCTTTTTAAAAAAGAAACAATGTGGGGTCTAAGAAATGCTGTGTAAGCGCCGATTATTCCGCTAATGCTTTCCTGGACTTCCCGGACGGAGGGCCCAGCCTGAGTCTTATCTACGCTGTGGTGGCCTCCTCGGACCGTGTACTGGACGTGGGATGGAATCCGAGAATTCAAGAGCTTGAAATCACCTCAGAGGTCATAGAGCCAATGCCGCAGGCTGCAGGCCTTTTCTGTGTGTCAGAAGGAGGCTGAGGAAGACACAATGGCCTCTTTCCTCATCCTCCCAGCCCCAGGCCTTCAAACAAGTCCAGAAAGTGACTCTGAAGCAGATGATTGCCAGAACATGGCCGTGTTTCCATACAAGCGGTGAGGGCAGCATAGGGCACAGGAGCTTGGAGCATTCAGTAGGGATGGCTTTCAGTTGTGCCCAGTAGAAACCTCACTCCGGGGTTTCAGCGTTAGGAGTTTCTACTCCCACGTTATAGGAGAACCCGATGGAGGCAGCACAGGGCTGGGATGGAGGCTTCATGGTTCCTTGAGGAAGCTGGAATCTTTCATCGCTGCCTTAGCACATGGCTGTCATCTTTATGGTTGTAAAATGTGTGCTCTGTTCCTGAGCATTGCGTCTGAGTTCTAGGTGGGAAGGCAGGAAGCATAAAGGAAAAAGGTAAAGGGCAGATATGAGCCCAATTAATTCTCTCTCTTTTTAAAAAAAGATTTTATTTATTTGACAGACACAGCAAGAGAGAGAGAGAGCACAAGCAGGGTGAGTGGGAGAGGGAGAAGCAGACTCCCCACTGAGCAAGTATCCCAACGTGGGGCTCGATCCAAGGACTCTGGGATCATGACCTGAGGTGAAGGCAGACGCTTAATGACTGAGCCACTCAGGTGCCCCCGACTCTCTTTTTAAAAAGCTCCCCTAAAGGGGTGCTTGGGTGGCTCAGTCAATTAAGCATCTAACTCTTGATGCAGCTCAGATCTCAGTCTCAGGGTTGTGAGTTCAAGCCCCACGTTGGGCTGCAGGCTGGGCGTGGAGCCTACATTAAAACAACAACAACAACAACAAAAAAAAAACAACTTTCCTAAGAATCTCTATCCAGCAACTTCCTGTTCCATTTTATTGGCCAGGCCTGGATCGCATGACTCTGCTGGCTCCAAGGAAGTCTTGACAAATGGGTATTGTTAACTGGGTGTATTGCTATCCTGAACAAAACTGAGATTCTACTAGGGAACAAGGGAGAAGGAACAAAAGGCAGTCAACTGTGCAGCATCTGCTAGAGCTACCTCGGCCTGGGTCTAGTTGGGGGGTTGCTCAGGGAAGACTTTCTGGAGGATGTAATGCCAGAGATGAAGTTTAAAGGCAAAGCAGGAGTTACCCCAGTGAAGCAGGGTGCAGTTACAGGCATTCCAGGAACATGAGACAGCAGGGGGTACTAATTGAGTACCCTAGCTGCCACATCAAGCCAAAATTATCTAACGGCTTGAGCATGATGGAAGTTTACAACTCACTAATGGGACATCCAAATCAGCTGGATGGTTCTCCTTCACGTTTTAACTCAGGGACATTGGTGCTTTCCACCTGTGGCTCTGTCCTCTTCAGCATGGGGCTTGCAAGTTGGCTGCTCTCCTTGGAAGGGGAA